TCCGCATAAGTGAAAAGTGAAGGTTAGTTATTGTGGCACATCCTTAGGATTAATAGTAAGTAAGGCTTGAAAAGAGATGGTATAAGGGGTGTCACAATTGGTGGTATCAGAACTAGAGTTTAGTCGTTTCTGCAGACAACTTCATATGTACAAGTCACGAAGACGGCGAGCCTGCTCACTGTAAGTTTTGTATTTCGTGAATTTGGCATTTATGAGTATATGATTTATGAAAAGCTAACATGCATAGGTTAAAGAAATAGTTACCTTATGTCTGGGCCGAGTCATAGACAAGCAGAAGTTCAATCAAGCCAACAATCAAATACTGAGGTAACTAGTAGATCATGAATAACAACCAGTGAAGTGGCATACTACAGAAACGTGGTTGAGGCAGCGAAACCTCCGACGTTCTCGAATGAGGAGAACATTATAACAGTGGAAAACTGGACCACTCGGATGGCCATAACTTTTTCGTGTGCACAACATTCCCCACAAGTTTAGGGCAAGGATAGTGGCTATGTATTTAAGGGAATACCCAACAGTTTGGTAGGAGATTTCCCAAGACTGAACAACCAAAGAAATGACATGGAATAGGTTTTGGTTTGCAATAGAAAGATAATTTAGCCAAAACTTTGGAGGTTCTCTCTAGGAGAGAAGAAAGCTTGAGAGTTTCACCGATAGTGACACAGAATAACTAAGAATTTGGAGATGGAAATTTGTGATATATTGTAAATAATTGTGGATAATGAATATGTACTGTATTGAATTACGATCTAGGTGTTGTATGGATGTTTGGAATAATGTTACTTTGAGTAATACTATTTTGATCAAGAAATGAGTATTTAGTATTTATTAACTAAGAGTGAATGCTTGATAAATGATGTGCATGTAGGAATAACGCCCACATGCCAGTACATTAAAATAAATGGCACGTGGAAGACCTCGTAAGATTCCTCGACAAGAGCAATCAGAAACAGCTCGTCAGGGAGATGGTAATGAACTCAGAAATGAGGCTCCCGAAGTGCCTCCTGCTAGGGCACAAGTGGATGAGATAGTAGGATTACAGGAAATGGTAAGGCTGCAAGCGGAGTAAATTCGCCAGCAGGACGAGCCACTTAATGCCTTCATGGAATGAATGAAGGCTAAAAAAATTCAACGCCACAATAACAGCAACCGCCACTACCACCGCAACCGGCACGAAATCAGAATGAGGCTCAAGTGGGAGAGCATGAGCGATTTAGGAAGCAACAGCCTCTAACATTTGACGGGGACGTTGATCCATTAATTGTTGAAGAATGGATGTGTGGTCTTAAAAAAAATTTTGACTTCATGAAGTTGACAGATCAGGAAAAAATGGCATGTGTGGTGTATCAAATGAAGAACAATGCGAGAATTTGGTGGGACATTGTTAAGAGGACAGTGGATGTGAATACTCTGACCTGGACGGGATTTCTGGAGCTATTTAACTCCAAATATTACAACGCTAACATTCTGGGTGCAAAAATGGATGAGTTTTAAGAGTTAAAGCAAGATAACTCTACATTGATTGAATATGCGCAGAAGTTCGATCAATTGTGAAGATTTGCACCCGGATTGGTAGCAATAGAAAATGAGAGTAAAAGGAGGTTTATGAAAGGTCTAAGGCCGGATTTGGCAAGGTTAGTGGATGCTGGTGAGACAGGGCCACGCATCTATGCATAAGTTGTTGAGCGAGTGATTCGACAAGAAATGTGGGAAAATGTTGAAAAAAGATAGGCCCAATTTTTAGGGATCAAGGAGAGTGACAGCGGTTCTAATTCTCGGTCTCACTTTAGCAACCGAGGGAATTTTCAACAAAGAGGGAATTTTGGAAACATAAGAGGACAAGGACCCCAGCGGGGAAATTTTAGAAATCGAGGCAATAGGTACTTTAGAAATAATAACCGAAGCAGAAGAAGCAACAGAGGTAAAGATGGGCAAGGAATCAGAACAGGCCGAATCGAGGAGATGACAGGAGACAACAGGGCCAACAGGGCTTTGAGTTATGGTCATACTGCAACAACTGCCAGCGTCGATATCGTGGAGAATGTTGGACGAACAACTTTGGGTGTTATACTTGCGGAAAGCCTGGGCATTATGCTAGAGATTGCCCGAACAACCTAAAATAAGGAGGACGAGGTGGAAATCAACATAAGATAAATGCTCGAGTGTTTACACTAACTCAAAGTGAAGCGGAGGCTGGACCTTCCAAAGTTGTTTCAGGTCAGCTCTCTATGGCCGATACTACTGCATATGCATTAATAGACTCAGGTGCATCTCACTCTTTTATTACTGTGAGCTTTGCTAGAAAGTTAAGGAGAATGCCAGATGAGCTAGGGGAAGTATGTAGAGTGTTTTTACCTTCAGGAGATAGTTTGAAGTTTCAATCTTGGTTTAGAGTAGTGCCTATTGTTATTTATGGTAGAGAATTGTATGTCGATCTAATCATACTAGATATGTCTAATTATGATGTCATATTGGGGATGGGCTGCACAGAAATGAGGAATTTTACATGTTGAGGTTATGTGTAAAATCGTAAGATTAGAGGATCACGTAAGTGGCTGTCAAAGAACTGAAAACTGTTATTTTTCATGTGAATTCTGGTCTTGATGTTTGTAGATCCATAAAATACACATCCTAAGCTGCGCATAACCACAAGAATCACCTCAAACGGACAACTATAGCTCAAGTTATGCATTTTTTAAGTTAGGCATGAGTCTGTAAATTCTACAGAAAAACCAACACGTTTTGATCTAGTGTGATATATTTTTAGAGACCTTAATTAACCTGAAACCAAGCTTATGATAGCTCCTTAGAAAGTCCTATATGTCTACTTCGATTACGCACTGATTTTGTAATTTTTGAGGCTACATAGAATATTTTGTGAATATTCTCGTAGCAGTCGTCAAAACTGACATTTCTTGAAATTAATAAAATAAAGAACTGAGGTTCCTACTTTTTGAAATGGGAGTGCTGCACTTAAACCACTTTTGCTACCATTTAGAACATGGTATTAGTTATGTGTGAGAGTTAGAATCACCTCATTTGAAGTTTTGTAGTCCGAGTTGTGCGCATAGGAAGTTTCATATAGAAACTTTCTAAAAGCTGTCAAAAACAGGAAAAACAAAATTTTAATATTTTGAGAACTATTGTTGAGGTACTTAGAGAGGTCGGATTTAGGCATATGATAGCTCGTTGGAAAGATATACATATCTACTTTGTTTTAGAGTTAATTTTAAAAATTTTGAAGACATAAAAAATATTTTATGAATTTTCTTGTCAAGATCAACGAATCTGTCAAATTACAGTTTTCAGGGGAATATGATTATGAATTCGAAGTTGATTTATGGCTGAGCTATTGAGCTCTAATAACGATGGCCAATTTTTTTATTTTGGACAGTGGAAAGGAAAACGAACAAGGGAAGCGCAGAGAGTTAAACTCAAATTTTGCTAAGCAACTCAGGTAAGTAGAGTATGACTTCTCTGCAGCACTTGTAAACTTTGTTTGATAGACTTTCTATGGAATGTCTAGTATGCTATTATTTGAATTTTTGTGACATTGTCAATGTGTATGTCTTGTGAAGATATGCTTATGCTAGTATATTATACACAAGGTAGAACAGCACGCCGATTGTTAAATTGCTTGTGATTGAGCACATGATAGCATGCATGATAGGCCGGTACTGCCAAGTTCCCAAAGGACTCCTGTTGTGATATGGTGATTGATGAAATTGTAATTGAGCTGCGCAAGTCTCTCGAGCCAAGTGGGTGATGACAGAGACTACATTGTGAAATTGTGATTTTGAATGCGTTGGCCGTTCCCTCGAGTCAGATGGGTGATGACAGGGAACCTGATATTGTGATTTGAGAAATTGGCATGTGGTCAGATTGTGAAAAAGCCGGCAACAGTACCAGGAGGGCCCTAGAGATATATATAGTGCACTTGCATAAAGTGTAAGAATTGATTGGCATAAGTTACCTAGGATGTTGCGATGCATGCGTATGCTAAAATGAGATTGTGTAATTGTAGCTCTACTTACTGAGCCTGTGGCCCGTTAAAGTTTGCTCTGTGTTGTAGGTAAAGCCGTAAAGGTAAGAACAAGGCGGAACAGTAAGCAGGGGAGTTGGCTTCGTTGACTGCTGTACATATAGTTAGACCGAAGAAGCTGCACGCGTATAATTTTGGGATTGTAAATACATATGTTTTGGAGTTAAACTCATAAACTCATAAACCTTGGATGACTGTATAATTATAATTATGGTTAGAAAATCTGATAAGAATGGTGTATTAACGAAATCTTGTTTAAGTAAAAATTTTGAAACACCATAATTTCTGCATAAGTGAAAAGTGAAGGTTAGTTATTGTGGCACATCCTTAGGGTTAATAGTAAGTAAGGCTTGAAAAGAAATGGTATAAAGAGTGTTACAATGGTCCTTTGGCCAAACGCCCTTCACCAGAGGTTTCTACCGATGGTGGTTGGAGGTTTTATTTTTTGTCACTTGTGTGTTTGTAACAAGGTTGGTGGTTTTCTCACCCGACTCGTCTGATATGTTATTTTTGGTTAGATTTAGGTGTTCAGCTTAATGCCAATAGAGTTGTCTTAGTCCGGCTAGAATTTTTTTATGTCGTGCAGATGTCCCCTTTCTATGGGTTTTGACGACCTGACCCTCCAGTACTCGACAACTTATGTTGAAAGGAAGAGTTTTCTCTAGTTGAGCTTTCAGTCCGCTCATTATTAGTGCGTCGAGATGCTTCTCGATTTAGGGCCTCGAACGTACGTCTGTCCCTTTAATGAATTAGCATTGTATCAAGAAGATTATTTCAATATTTTAATAAAATGCAATTTCCTTAAAAAAAAAAAAAAAAAAAAAAAGAAAGAAAGAAAGCCAATTTCGAAAGAACATCATAATGAGCATGATTTCCTTTGCTTAAAAAGAATAGGAGAATCATAGCAAAACAAACGTCCACGGCCATACACCAGAAAAAAAGGAATGATGAGCACTTCTTCAGCTTAAACCTCTTGATAAAGCAGAGGAAATAACGACTAATGTAGTCATTTGTATTCTCATCTTGGGTGTCTAGCAACATAGTACAGTTTTCCCTCCGGTCCTCTCCTTACCTGATTTTTTTTAGGAAAAAAAAAAATTCTCGAAATTTGCGCGGGATTTGAAAGAAAAACAACCAAACTAATCCACAATAGGTACTGCAATTCAAGTTTCCTTTCCCATTTGCAGTAGTGGCAGTAGCCATCATAAACAGTCGCAGTGTTTGCAGAAGAGGGAGTCAGGCTGAGGCACCATCCAAGCGTCCTTCTATACTGAAAACCGTGAGGTCGAACATTATTAGCGGTTCTAGTTCTACTCTCTATCATTCTGGGGAAAATATCTCTGAACATCAAACGGCCGGTTACGATTTGAATCAGGCAAGTTGGAAGTAATATCGTCATGCATAGGTGCAAATGCTGCAAAACACGTATTAGTAAACTAGTCAGATTAGGATTGCATGCAGGATGAAATGTTGGGCGTGCGTGAACTGGTCTGTTAGTGAAACAACGACTAATTGGACCAAGCTCAAGCTCCAAAGAGTCGTCGGTGAATCAGAATATATATGAAACAAATTCTTTCAACAATCAGTATCCAGAGATCTCAATTGATGTGAACGCGAAACACAATATGAATCAGAGCAAAGAAACACCAGCAACAAGACTAACCTTTCTCTCTCATTCTTTTCTGCCTGTCATACTCAAACTTATCTCGAATTACGCTGACCTTTTCCCAGTTATCACCCTGCGGTCTCACAAAAGCCTGGTCCTTCAAGCAAGCACAAGGAATTGAGCATTATAATTAAAGATAAATATACGAAATCAAACAATCTCGAATTAGGCTGACCTTGTCCCAATTATCACCTTGCCGACTCACAAAACCCCGGTCCTGCAATCAAACACAAGGTATCTGAGCATTAGCATTAGTGATAATTATGTTAAATCAAACAAAACTTATCTCGAATTATGCTGACCTTTTCCCAGTTAGCACCTTGCGGTCTCACAAAACTCCGGTCCTTCAATCAAACACAAGGTATCTGAGCATTAGTATTAGAGATCAATATATTAAATCAAACAAAATTCACCCAAACCAACAAGGCATGATCCGATTCATTGTCACGTCACGAATTTGAATTTCGAGGGACAAAAGAATAGTAAAATCATCACAAGATATGATATGGATTATGTCATACAATTCCAAGACGATGACCCAAGAACAAAAAAAAATCTGATGTACAGAGTAGTATTAATCGTCCCAACAGTGGAAAAACAAGATACTTCAGTCACATCAAAAACTATATTCTCAAATGTCGGATTGTATACTCACTGAATTTCATGTGATACATGCAGACTAAGAGAGCTTGGGCAAACGAAGCGAATTGTCAAAGAACTTTATGCTTTTTGAAACTTATACTCTAAATCTTGTATCCAAGAATTATCAGGAAAGAACCTGTATATCCAACTTTTACAGAACCTGTATATCCAATTTTTACATGGTTTTTTCCCCCGCTTTGAAGGGCCAATGATTATACGAGTGTATCCAAAATTAGATCTAGAGATAGAATGCAACTTCCATACTCGAAAAATTAGTTCCAGTCCTAGAGTGCCTTGAACCAATGACGATCGCTAAAACAACACAATAAAATGAAACGATGATAATTTTAATTTCTTAAACCACCCAAAATATGCATCTAGTTGAATCAAATTTGCACCTTCATTCGCTCAGAATTGGATGGTCTGCTCCTGAAAATTGAAATGCAAGCATAAAAGTTAAAATACTGCTTAACTTCTATACCATTTATATTATATGCAACAAATGGGTTGTGCAAACCTATAAGGGGAAAAATCCTCATCATCATCTTCAGCAGACTCGTAATTTGCATGATCTTCTCCAAGTTTCTTGGAATAGCCCTCATCCCAGTAAAGCCTCTCCCAGTTCTCCCTAAGCTCCTCATATAGCTCCATATACTTTTTGCACCAAGGCTCGTGCTCCTTTTAACACAATTACCCAAAACCATATTATCATCTCAAACAAAATCACATCCCAATTACAAAACAACACACTCAGTGACTAAATAATGGTATAAAGTTAAAAACTTTAACTGAAACTTTTCAATTAATCTGCTTTTGAACGAGCACAAAAAAAAGTATCAGTTTTAAGCGAATCGATTTTGAATTCGGAAAAGAAAAGTTTCAGAAATGTTGGATTAAACATAGCGCAGCATACAGATAACAAACTTCTTTCATTTTCCCACACTTTCTCGTCAATCAAATAGGGGGAAAAAGAAAAAAACAAACAAACAAACTAGAATTAAGAAAGGGAGAGATGTTTTGAAGACAAACCGATTCCTTGATGACGAGGCGAGTTCGGCGCATGAACTGTTCCCTGAGCTGTTTTCGGCGCTTGTTGGGGACGTTATCCCTAGGGAGGACGAAGCGCTCGCGAGGAGGCACATGGTCGCCGATCTCATGCATCTCGCCGTCAACAATCCACCACTCGGACTTCCCCTCCGCTCTCTTCTTCGCCCGCGCCAATGACCTGGACCGCGGCCTCGGTGGGCCCGTGTCGCTCCGGAACCACCGAAGTTGGTGTGCGACAGCCCGGAGGCATTGAGGAGAGGCCTGGAGTCGTTTCGCGAGGGAGAGCATGGACGCGTTTTGTGAGCTGTGCCGGTGATGGTTGGTGAATTCAATGATGATCGGCGGGTTCAAAGTTTTAGTTGGTTACGGGGAAAAAACAACGACAAGCACATAAGAAAAGATGGTAGCAAAGAAACGACAGCAAAATATTGAACGACAATAACTTAAAAAACGACAATAAGAAGAAAAAGGATAATGAAATAAGAGAAATATAAAAGGACAAACGCATTTTTAAAGAGTACGAACTAAAAATAACAAATATCTAAACGGCATGAAGTTGCGAAAGAATAATAAAAGAAAAACGACATCAAAATAAGAAACGAGCACAAGGGTATTGACATAAAATCTATTATCTATTACTATATTATAAAGGAGAGTTCCTCTTTGGACACTATTCAAAACTTTGGTCTATCTGTTTTGTCTTGTGTTTTTTAACTTCTTCACACACACACATATATGTATATCAAACCACTTGTTTGTTATAATTGGCAACTTTTTTTTTTTTTACATATAATTCATCAAAAAAAAAACTTCTTGTTTATCTATTACTACATACTACGTGTGAATAAGTTTCAATACAGATTGTTGCGTAATGTTATTTTAACTTTAAAAAAGATAAAGTTTTTCTTGTGTTTGGAACTTGAGGTAACTTAGGGAGAAAAAGGAGGATTCTTTTGTAATATTTTTTTCTTGTGTTTAAATATTCACAAAAATACCAAGGAAAAAAATTTTCACTTGCTCTATTTTATTTTTCAATTCTCTCTCATCATTGTCTCACCTCACTCTCTAACCTCACTTTCTCTCTCATCACTCTCTCACCTCACTTTCTCGCTCCTCACTCTCTCTCTCTCCTCACTTTCTCTCACCACTCTCTCTCCTCAATTCCTCTCTCACCTCACTTTCTCTCTCCTCACTCTCACCTCACTTTCTCACCTCATCACTCTCATCTCGTTCCTCACTCTCTCTCATCACTCTTTCACCTCACTTTCTCTCTCACCACTATCTGATGCGATAGGAGCAGCACAAGAGACACAACCGGCTTACGGAGCACAAGGGCAAAGGCAACATTCAAGAGATCCATTGAGTCTACCAAGTGGTCCGGTGACAAGGCCTAGAGTCAAACGCTTCAAGGAAGCATTGAATGGGTTGATTCAACAAGTTGGAGATATGGCAAACACATGGAGGCCCAACACAAGTCCAAACCAGAATGAAGAAAACCTAGTCACCATGATTAAGGTTCTAGAAGATTCAAGTTGAATTGCAAAAGCTTAGCAAGGGGAGTCCGACTCAAATTAAGAAGCATTGTTAGGGATATTTGTTACTTATGTTTTAATTTGTTATTGGGATTTTTAATGTTATTTTTGAAAGCAGATTTGAAAGAAAATAATCTGCAATATTATTCAATGTGGTGGAAATACACTTAAATAGACAGCCAAGGTAGGTTGGCTTATCTGAATAAAAAGGAAAGAAAATCTCCTAATAAAGTGACTGATTTGAATTTAATAATCAAATCAGATTTTATTGACTAATAGCTAATCCTAAACCACCGGGATAATCAATAGGAGAAGATAAGGGAAGATTTGAATATTCAAAATCTTCCAAATTGATTTATCCAGTGAAATCCGATTAGATCAACCTAATCTGATATGCGTCGCTCCCCCTCAAGCTTGGACGTAAATGTCTATGAGTCCGAACTTGCTTGCTAACTCTTCAAACGTTGGTCCATGCAGTCCTTTAGTTAGAATATACGTCACTTGTTGCTTCGTAGGAACGTATCTGACACTGATTATCCCACTTTCAATTTTTTCTATGATAAAATGTCTGTCCACCTCCACATGTTTGGTTATGTCGTGATGAACTAGATTGTGTGCTATGCTAATCGTAGCCTTGTTGTCGCAATAGAGTTGCATAGGAAACTCACACTCAATTCTCAATTCTTCCAGTAGTCGTTTTATCAAGATTGCCTCACAAATGCCATGAGCCATAGCCCTATATTCAGCCCAGCACTACTTCTTGCAACTACAGCATGTTTTTTGCTATGCCAAGTCACCAGGTTTCCCCAAACCTAAGTACAATACCCAAATGTCGACCTCCTATCTTCTTTAGAACCTACCCAATCTGCATCCGTGTAGATCTTCACCTTTCTATCCTCGTTCTTCCGGAAGAATAGTCCTCTCCTTGGATTCTTCTTGAGATATCTTAATATGCGGTAGACTATATCAAGATGTTTTTGGCGTGGTGAGTGCATGTATTGGCTTTCCACACTGATTGCAAATGCTATGTCTGATCTAGTGTGTGAGAGATAGATCAATCTTCCCACAAGTCTTTGATATCTACTTGTGTCTACCAAATCTCCATCACCTAAATTCTGCCTTCCCCTCGGTTCAATAAGAGAGTCTATGGGCTTGCAACCGAGCATTCCTGTCTCTTCTAATAAATCCATCGTATACTTTCTTTGTGATATGGAGATCCCCTTCTTACTCCTTGCAACCTCCATTCCTAGGAAATATTTCATGAACCCTAGGTCCTTGATCTCGAATTCCCTAGCCATAATCTTCTTAATTTCTTTCATCTCTTGGAAGTCATCCCCAGTCAAAATTATGTTGTCCACATATACGATCAAAACTGTAACCTTGTTCGTGGAATGCTTGACGAAGAGAGTATGATTTGATTGTCCTTGTAAGCATCCATGACCTTTGATTACTTTGGAGAATCTTTCAAACCAAGCCCTAGGTGACTGTTTTAAACCGTATAAAGACTTTTTTAGCTTACACACTGTCTTGTCATGTTTGCCCTCATAGAAACCAAGTGGGAGACTCATATATACTTCTTCTTCTAGCTCTCAATTTAGAAATGCATTCTTTACATCAAGTTGATAAAGAGGCCAATCCATATTTACTGCTAAGGATAAGAGAACCCTAACGGTGTTGAGCTTTGCAATTGTTGCAAACGTTTCTGTGTAGTCTACCCCGTAGGTTTGTGTGAAGCCCTTTGCTACCAATCGGACTTTGTACCGCTCCACTGAACCATCTGGCTTTACTTTAACTGTAAACACCCACTTGCATCCCACTATTTTCTTGTCTTGTGGTAGTTCTACTAGGCTCCAAGTCTCGTTTTTCTCAAGGGCATGCATCTCTTCTAGCACCGCAGTCTTCCATTCTAGGACTAGAGCTTCTTCAATCGTCCTGGGAACATCAAGGCCCCATTCATTTCGCTGATTCGAGTTTTGCTACAGTAAAAAACTCTCATAAACAGTCACATCTAACTTTCTTGCTACAGTAAAAATTTCTCACATAAAGTCACATCTCACATCGAATTAAAAATTCGAATCAGCGAACTAAACGGGCCCCAAGTCTAGAAAGGTTTGTTGTGAAAGCACGAAACGAGGGTGATAGATTATCATATGACACAAATTTGGAAATTGGGTGTTTTGTACATGTCCTAACACCTTTTCTTAGAGCAATGGGATCATCTAGTCTATCATGAAGAGTTTCGGGTTTACCTGAGGATAAAGGATTAGGACCCACCATAGGTTCGGATTCAGGGCAGTCTACAATGCCTGTGATTTGTTTATTTCCTTCAAAGTTTTTCCTCCAAGAGTAGACTTGCAGTTTTGGAGGTGGTTGTGGATTTAGCAACAAAGGTGGCTGCGGGATTGGCTGTGAACAAGGCTGGGACGACTGCTGTGGCTGTGAGGTCTGTGAAGGTGGCTGTGAATCTTCACGTTCAATTTCGGTTTGGGCTGGAACTGGAATCTCGACAATGGGAGCTGACTGTGGGGCCAAAGTTCCTTCAACTGTGACTGGCGAAGCTTCTTCAACTGTGGTTGTGACGTCCCATTCCCACACATAAGCTTCTTTATCATTACTCTCCCCCTGAAGCGAAGTGTGGGAATAATAAGGTATCTCTTCAAAAAAGGTAACATCTCGGGTAACATATGATTTTTTTGTTTATGGGCAGAAACAACGATACCCCTTTTTTGTTGGAGAATATCCGAGGAAGATGGTTTTTATGGCTCGGGGATCGAATTTGGAGCGATGTTGGGAATGGACATGGACAAACACAGTACAACCAAAGGTTTTAAGAGGGAGGTTGTTTGTGAGGATATTGAAGTGTGGGACTTGAGTTGTAAGGACAGACAATGGGGTTTGAAATTTGAGGAGGCGGCTGGGTAGTCTATTGATGAGAAAGGCCGCGGTTAAAATGGCGTCACCCCACAAATATTTGGGTACATTCATGGTGAATATAAGGGCACGGGCCACTTCCAGCAGATGTCGATTCTTTCTTTCTGAAATTCCATTTTGCTGTGGTGTTTCAGTACAAGAACTTTGGTGAACGATTCCGTGTTGGTCAAGATAATTACCCAAAGTGGACTGGAAGTATTCACCGCCATTATCAGTTCTTAGAACCAAAATCTTTTTCTGAAATTGAGTTTGGATTGTGTGGAAGGTTGGAAAGATTTGGCTAGTTTCAGATTTTTCCTCAAGCAAGTAAACCCAAGTTACCCGTGTATGGTCATCAATAAACGTGATGAACCATCGTTTGCCATTCAAGGTTTGTTACTCTAGATGGACCCCATATATCACTGTGAATTAAGGAGAAAGGCATAGAGAGTGCATATGGTTTTGGTGAGAAAGGGACACGTGTATGCTTCGCAAATTGACAAATATCACAAGTAAATGAAATAGTATCTTTATTCTTGAATAGGGCTGGTAACAAAAATTTCAAATAGGAAAAACTAGGGTGGCCAAGTCTATGATGCCACAACATTATTTCTTTATCAATAGAAACCGAAATAAAAGACACTCTGGACACATGTGCTTGTCGACTCTCAGATTCTGAATTCTCAAGGAAATAAAGTCCCTCATAGGCTCTGGCACTGCCAATCGTCTTCCCCGATGATAGGTCCTGAAATTGACACATAGAAGAATGAAAATTAACTACACATTTATTGTCACGAGTGAGTTTACTAATGGACAACAAATTACACTTTAAGGCTAGAACATGGACGAAATGAAGAATAAGATTTTTTAAGATTTGTATTGAACCTATTCCAGCAATAGTAGCTAGAGACCCATCGGCAATCTTAATTTTAGCAGTATTAGAATATTGAGTATAGGAAGAAAAGTGTTTGGAACAACCTGTCATGTGGTCAGAGGTACCAAAATCAATGATCCGCGGTTCCTGAGTATGAAGTGATGAGATCAAGGCTGAATGGTTACCATTATGTGTCGTGGTGCACAACCCTACATTAGAAATTGGCTTAGATGGTGGTGTGAGAAGACGATAAAGTTGCTCTAACTGCTCCTTGTTCAGTGAAATCGAAGATTCTGCGTGTTGTTGTTGTGTGGGAGCATCCATTCCATGCTTATCTTGGGAGGCTTGGAAGCCTTTTCCTTCATTCTGCTTCCGAGGGGTCCAGTTTGTTGGTTTCCCATGGATTTTCTAGCAAGTATCTTTCGTGTGTCCGGATCGCTTGCAATGATCACACCAAGGTCGGTTTCTTCTTTGTTGGTTCTCGTTGTTGGATTGTGGTCCTCGTGCGGCTAAGGCAGAAGCATCTGTAGTTGAGTTTCCAGCATCATTAGAAGTCGAGATCACAACATCATTGGGGTTTCCTAGCATTAATTTCTTTCGGCTCTCTTCCTGCTTTACTTCTGAAAAAACAACACAAACATCTGGTAGAGGCTTTGTGCTTAAGATTCTTCCACGAACATCATCTAAGGTTTTGTTAAGACCAAACAAAAACTTGTACACCCTATCTCTTTACAGAATTTCCTTGTATCGCTTATGATTCTCGGCACAATGCCATGCTGTTTCGTCAAGGATGTCCAGTTGCTGCCAATGTCGTGATAGAGTATTAAAGTATTCTGTTACGCTTAGTTCTCCTTGGCGAAGATCGTTCAGAATTCCCTTGAGCCTGAAAATCTCTGAAGTGTTTTCCCTGTTAGAATAACTCCGCTTCACTGCATCCCACATCTCCTTTGCTGCTTTGTAATACATAAAGTTTTCTCCCATCTCGGAATTCATGGAGTTGATCAGCCATGACCGAACCATGCTATTTTCTGTTTTCTAAGTTTTAAACTTGGGATCCTTCTCATCTAGTTGTGCAACATCACCGGTGAGGTAGTCTTCTTTTCCTTTTCCTTCTATGAACATCATCACAGAATGTGACCATTGGACGAAATTTTGTCCATTGAATTTGTGACTCGTGATTTGCTGAAAGGGGGCTTCAAATCCATTAATCTGAATCGGATTGACAGCCCCTGATGAGGTAGAGGTAACCTCGGACGATGAGGTTTGTTTCCCGCTAGCCATTCCGTATTTTGCCATTCCGGTTGGCAGAGAAAATCAAAGTTCAGAGAGTGGCTCTGATACCATGAAAGCAGATTTGAAAGAAAATAATCTGCAATATTATTCAATGTGGCAGAAATACACTTAAATAGACAGCCAAGATAGGTTGGCTTATCCGAATAAAAAGGAAAGAAAATCTCCTAATAAAGTGACTTATTTGAATTTAATAATCAAATCAAATTTTATTGACTAATAGCTAATCCTAAACCACTGGGATAATCAATAGGAGAAGGGAAGATTTGAATATTCAAAATCTTCCAAATTGATTTATCCAGTGAAATCTGATTAGATCAACCTAATCTGATATGCCGACAATTTTCTACATAGGACAAGGCTGGCCGAATTGAGCCTAAGGGAAAACATTGTAGCCGAATTGGCCTTGGATTAGAATAGGAAGGGCTTTAATGTTTCTGATCTATCTCCTTTCAATGTAGGTGACGATTTGGGGGCAAATCCTTTTCAAGAGGGAGAGAATGATGCGATAGGAGCAGCACAAGAGGCACAACCGGCTTACGGAGCACAAGGGCAACATTCAAGAGATCCATTGAGTCTATCAAGTGGTCCGGTGACAAGGCTTTGAGTCAAAACGCTTCAAGGAAGACGTTTTTGGCAATTAAAAATAATATCAGAGGTTTTAATATTTCGTGCTTCTTGGTTCTTGAGAAGACTTTGAACTTATCAAGTACTTTTCTTGTGGCGTTCAAACAATCAAACTTATCATCGAGATTAACGGGTGATTCTTGAGAATCTTAGTGTGACGTTCTTCATCTTTCATAGTTTTTAATTCGCGTCTTGATAGACAACGGGTTAAGGCTAAACAATCTTGCCTTTTTCTTTTTCACTCGTCGTGTCTTCTTTAGTTCTTAATCAGACATAAAACACTCAAGTTTTCAAGTAGCAATCAAGTTGATGGCAACCGAACAAACCAGCAAGATTTAAGGGCTCCGAAACTAATGAAAACAAGCGAATTTTGGCCCGAAAAATTGGGTTGACAGGCGACGCCGTTCTAATTCACTGATCTCCGATTTTTTTTTAACGTAAAGTTCGGCCAATAAAGGAACCTAAGTCAAATTTGATTGAAAACTATGACTCCTTATGAAATTTTCGGCCAGAGATAACAAACAAGGAAACCCTAATTTGAGTTCCAACTAGGTTTAGGAAACCCTAAGAAGCCCCAAATTTGAGTTCCAACTAGGATTAGAAACTCTAGCTTAAATTCGGCCAGCAACCAATTATCCCCATCAATTCGGTTTTTTTTTCTTTTTTTTGATAACAAGATAATCGACCTCAACAAGGAAAAGAAACCCTAGAGGCAGGTGCAAGGTATTCGGCCTCAAGAAACCCTAGGAACCCCGACTTTTTTTTTTTTGAATATTTCGGAAATTTTCAAATCAAAGCAAGAACAAAAGTACGAACCCAAATTGAAACCCTAAGACACAAAGAAACGATTAAAGATAGTCAAACTTGCCTTGAAACCTAAGCTCTGATACCAACTTATATGAACCTTGCCAACGACACGGCGAGACCCAACACCAAACACGGATCACAACCCCAAAATTTTCAAGTCGCAAGATTGTTGAGCCTTAACCAGTGTCTATCAAGACGCGAATCAAGAACTACGAAAGATGAAGAACGCCACACCAAGATTCTCAAGAATCGCCCGTTAATCTAGATGATAAGTTCGATTGTATGAACGCCACAAGAAAAGTACTTGATAAGTTCAAAGTCTTAAGAACCAAGAAGCACGAAATATGAAAACCTCTTATATTATTCTTAATTGCCAAAAACGAGTTTTTACAGCCCTATTTATATTTGATACGTTTTTCAACCCTAATGAAAACTGAAACATCTAATTACCTAAGCTTAAGCCCAAACTCGGCAAACCCCTCCTAATCTAATCCAAGGCTATTCGGCCACAATGTTTTCCCCTATGCCCAATTCGGCCAACCCTGTCCTATGTAGAAAATAACATTAAAAATCTCAATAACAAATTAAAACATAAGTAACAAATATCCCTAACAATGCTTCTTAATTTGTGTTGGACTCCCCTTGCTAAGCTCTTATAATTCAACTTGAATCTTCTAGAACCTTAATCATGGTGACTAGGTTCTCTTCATTATGGTTTGGACTTATGTTGGGCCTCCATGTGTTTGCCATATCTCCAACTTGTTGAACCAGCCCGTTCAATGCTTATTTGAAGCGCTTGACTCTAAGCCTTGTCACCGGACCACTTGATAGACTCAATGGATCTCTTGAATGTTGCCCTTGTCCTTGTGCTCCGTAAGCCGGTTGTGCCTCTTATGCTGCTCCTATCGCATCACTATCTCTCCCCACTCTCTCTCATGACTCTCTCTCCTCACATTCTCTCTCCCCATTCTCTCTCACCACTTTCTTGGATTCTTTTTTGGGGCTCAAACTAGTGGTTAACTAATCATAACTGCTTGCAAAACATTTACCTATTTGTTTACTAATTTCTCCAATCAATTCAACCTAGTTCATTTCCCTTTAAATAGACGCAATTATCCTTCTTTTCTTTCCCTGCACTGGAGACAAAGCCAAGCCAAGGGCATAAATGACAAAACAATGACCACTAAGCTTGTGATTCAAGATCACCGAAATGGTCTTATTACAGAAGGTACCAGTTGTGTGCTCATTTTAGATAGACTAGTTTCAATTACATTTTGATGGTTTTCTTTTTCAAGTTAAGGAACTCATTTCACAAAGTAAAACCTCCATAACCACTTCAGTTATAAATAAATAACAACAACAACAAAGGTTGGTTTACAGTAAATTAAAAGAGAAAAGCGGATGAATTGGGTAAGTACCACCAACCTGAAGCTTAACAGGACTGGAGTAAACTTTGACCGAAGTAATCTCCGTCAGTTTAGTAACTAATGGAAACTTGACGTACTCTAAAAATTGCAACAATTTATCCTTTTCAAATCTGGTCCGTTCTGCAATCACAAACTCATAAGGTCAGTAAATTCTGGCTGACAGCCATAGTTTACTGTAAAATCTGTTTTTTTATGTTATTTACAGAAGCTATAATCGTCTAGAATAACTTGACTGATAATCATACATATTTATCACAATAACAAAGAGAAGAACAAGTGAAAATCTTCAACACTATAAACGACATATAAAAAATGAAAATTAAACCATTTTAGAAGTATGTGTGCATGTTGTATTCTCCATAGAATCAAAATTCGAACCTTTCTCTATAGAATTGTAGATCTAATCACTTTGATAGTGATGACAACACATCACTATCAATTCAAACTGATCAAAACTGTTTGCTAGCTGAAAGCTAGTCATAAGTCTTCACATTACATATAAATAACTTTGTTTATGTCATAAATGAATATTTTTCAATTTTTCAGAAAATTTTTCAATTTTTCAGAAATTTTTTCATGAACAAAGAAACACGTATAGAGTTAGGAGAAGAAAATACAAAATCAAATTCAGGGAAAAATACAGTAGTCACCCTTGTTAATTGGCATATACAAAACCCCACGAATCTGAATCAGATTCTACATCTTAATCACATAGAAGAATGATAATTCTAAACCCTTTTCACCCGGCAAACTGAATTTCAAAATTGGCCCAGAAACTACTACGAGATGCTTCACCATTCTTCCTTGTCAACAATCCCATCAGAAGGGCTCATTTTTCTTATACTAGCACAAATCAGATGACTAAATCCTGAAATTCATCATGGAATATAATCCTCTTAACTGTCTACTGGGTAATTGGGTAACTAATTCTCTTAACTGTCTACTTTCCTCAGCTTGGGCTGCTATTTGCCTTCTGAGACCTGCTACTTCTGTAGCAAGGTTATGTGCTGGAGGATTCTGTTCTGCTTGTTGTCTTTTTGGGCGTGTAAGAATTTATTTACTAACTATACTTTAACTTTCCTTCACTCTCATAGCAACTAACAAAACATACATTCTATATGTTCTCATTTCATACATATCACGTCATATACAAAATATCACAAAAGTTAAGGTTTCTAGGCCTTTCAGTCAATTCTATTTACATAACCTTGCGTCATTTTCAGCTAATATGACGCTAAGTCCTAACTCAATCCTAATCATTTAGTTATTCATCGGGGTCCTCTTCTGGATCCTCCTCAGGGTCTTCCTCAGGATCCGATTGAGGGTTATCACTAGCATCCTCATCAACGGTCCTGACATATGTCCATCTTCGCCGAACGGCTATAGGCTCATATGTTGCCTCTATTTCGGGTCTCGGCCGCTGTTGAGAGGTAGTGGCTTCCGCGTCATGTCTCATCATACGGGTATTAGAAAACGGAAAATCTCGCCTAGCCGCAAATGGCCCTATCCTCTCCTCTAGTATTTGGCGCTCACATTGCTTCACCTCAACAATAAACTGTGCGTGGGTCTGATCCGATCGTGGAACTAACCGATGTTGGTACTCCTCTGTCATACCTCTCCATATAATCTGACACCGCTCCTCCTCGCTAAGATTAAAAATCTGATTAGGAGCTAACACGTCCGTCAAGACCCTAGCATATATGATATGACCGCCTCATCAGCTCTCATACCAACACCCTCGACTCGTAACACGAACTCCCGAGCTTGGGTGTAGGTCATGGCTACACTTACTTGTGTCAATGTTTCCCCACTCAACTGTGGTGCCGGCTCTGGTGGTATGACCTGGGGAAGGAACTGATATTTCAACATATGGCAAAACCCCTCCCACTGCATCTCTGCTATCTCATCATCATCCAAAGCCTGCCAAAAATTTAGGGCATTGCCCTCTAACAAACTAGCTGCTAGTGTAATCCACTTATCTTGAGCTATATCACAGGCTCGCATCACATATTCTACATGGTGCAACCAATCCCTAACTCTAGTAGGATGTGAAAGCCCATCATAAGAAGGTGGATTATAGGTGTAGAACTTGGCTATGCCTCGTCCCGTAGTCAAGACACCTCTCCTTGCTCGATACGCAGCCTCAACCGCTATGGGCTCTAGAGCCCTTAATTCCCGGTCCACTGGAGGATGACAATGTCTAGCAAGAATAGTTACCAACATCTCTTGTTGTCGGAACAGCGAGGATAAAAATGTTCTTACTCGTCCCCATAAAGTATTCCTTCGCGAGGTGGACGCTAACCCTAACGACGGAGGTGATCGATCCATGAGTCCTTGTTCCGTCCTGCCAAAAGAAATAAACAATTTTAGTTTTATTCTATAAACTAATTTACCTGGACTGTGCAGAAGCATCGGTGTGGGATTTGTCATGGTAGGAGTAGGAAAACCTCTCTGATACCAACTGTGACGCCTACCGCCCTAGCGGCGGGTCGCCAACCGTATACTACTACTAGTAGGCCGAAATATTGTCTAATCTATTACTTGTTACTTAACTATCACCTCGTTGTACCACATACGTACACAGGTGCACTTCTTTTTTTTCCTCCGATGTTCTCAACATGTTCCGGAGTATGTTCCTTTGTCATATTAATATAACATCTAGCTAATACTTTGTAATTTCGGATATGGAAATAATCCCCGAAACATAACTTTACTTATTATAGTCCATTGTTCTTTACTAAGACTGTAACATCTCTTTCTTAATACTTAATACATAAACTTTTGTTCTATATTACATTATTTCTGCAGCGGAATTTTTTCTACGCGGGCGAAGTAGACTCTACTCCCGTGAACTCATGACATATCCGCCACTTTGCATCCGCCAGTCCATCAAACAGAATTACTATATAGCTGGTTGTTTACCTGTGTTTACCTGCAACACGAGTAAACTAATGAGCGAATGCCCAGCAAGTATAGACATGCACACATCTTAAAATTAGTAAACTATATAATGTCATAATGCAGGAATGCACATATGAATATGTTTCCTTGCAAACATGCTTTACATAACTGTTTTCTGTCTTTCTATTCTTGTTACTATGGGCCTGAGCCCCTGCTTATATGCCCTACTGTGGGCCGGAGTCCCAGTTTAACTGCCTGGTCTAACCGGGATCTCTTATTCTTTGAGATTTCCTCCCTTGAGAGTCCGACGACCCGTCAATCTCTTAACTTTACTGAACTTTAGATTTGCATTTCAAAGTATTTTAAAACTTTATTGAATGCTATGCAACGCTTTTTCTACGTGCACATGCTCGCATGAGATGCATAATACTTCATGCATATCTTAAACTGAGCATTAGGGTAACTACATGTCGCCCTTCTAGAATCTAGGACACTAAGCCCTCCAACACTTAAAATCACATCAACTTAGAAATATAAGTAAATTCATAATTCTAAATCTAACTACAGTTTACTCAAGTACAGACAAACATATATGTCTACACTTATAAATAATCTGCTAGTATTCCTGCTTGCTTAGAGTTCTTCCTTTTCGCTTCGGCTTTCGTGCCAAAACTTGTTTCATGGAAATCGGTATCAACTTCCTATTCCAAATATCAAAATTTCTCATACTTAGATTTCTAAATCCAATCTCACTCTCACTTTTGAATTTTATTCCTCTAAGTCGAATTTTCTAGCTTAAGAGGTAAATTCCACAATTTGAGTGTTTCGATTTCTGAAACCTCAATTTACTCATTTTTGGGTCTTGGAACTGTTACTCATTCTCTATAATTGAAATCATAACTTAATACTTACAAAGTTTAAAAAATTACGGCAGAGTTTCGCCTAACTTTTCTCGTTACATGAGCTTTCAATAGCTCGTTCTAACTTCTGATCTCAGTTCCTGGAGTCAAGATTCATATCTCTCAACACAAAAATGAACAAAAACACATGTTCTTTCTCATTCTAGCGCTTCCGGATTTTTTTGTGCAAATCCACCAAAATCTCATTCAATCGTTTTAATACCTACACCGTTAGACTCCTATCACGGTGCTCTACAAAACCTCGGTTTCGATTTTTACTTTTACGAAAGTTTTCCGAGATTGGTTACTATTTATCTAAAACAAAAACCATAGGATTTCACATGAAAAATCCGAAATCTTACCTCTATAAGTTGGAGTTTTCCGCTAGAACGCCTTGGGTTATGATTCTACCGGAGTGAACGGAAGAAATTTCGGTGAAAACTCTTGATTCTCTTGATTTCTCCTTGGTTTCCCTCTTTTCTCTCTAGTTTCGGCCACCCTTAGGAAATTAGAACACTTTGGCTTCTAATTTCTTCCTAAGTGTTTTTAAGAAGCAAAACTAATATTTAATTAATTTCCTATTACTTTCTAACTAAAAATATTTATTTTTCTATTTCTTTCCAATAAAAGAAATACCCTAATTCTCATAATTTAATTCTACTATTTCTACTTAAGTTTAACACTTAATTTGAGTGGTTCTATGTTCCTCAAATTTTTCTTGTCGAGACCTAACTTTCCGTTTCTCAAAACAAGTCTCTTTCCGGTACTGATAATCTTTCTCCCGGTACCGGTTCTATACTGCATTTCTGGACTGCCGGGTACCCCGGGTAAAACTTCTCATATTCAACCCAATCTCTTGGGTATCTCATTAGTCAATTTCTTTTTCTGAAATTTCATTTCAATCGATCCAGAATTACCCAAAACGCTTACCCTTGCGGTACTGATTTTTGCGCTATTTCCCGCTTTTAACTGACTCGGAAAAATCTTGTTTAGGAACTATTGCTATTTTCCTTACTTCTAACATTTCTACTCTTTTTCTAACTTGTCATTTGGTCACATACCAAATATTTCAGTTTTTCATATATACCCGCTAATATTTTTAATTTTTAACTAATATTTCACTATTCATAACTGATATTTACGAATTTCCTCTGTAGAAATATTTGTATTATAACTTTACACATTTCAGGAAATTTTGTCCCATACATAAGGTTTCTACATAACATTCTCTCGATCAAGTCAAAATTCTACTACTTACTATTCCGGAAAGAATTATGGTCAAATGCCGGACTGTCCGGATTAAACCAAAATTTTCTCGGTCATTACAACAACCCCAGGGCACCCCCGGGAGAGCCCCGAGAGACCCCGAGGAGACCCCAGGGCACCCCCGGGACACCCTCAGATCAGTTTAGTAACTAATGGAAACTTGTACTCTAAAAATTGCAACAATTTATCCTTTTCAAATCTGATCCGTTCTGCAATCACAAACTCATAAGGTCAGTAAATTCTGGCTGACAGCCATAGTTTACCGTAAAATCTGTCTCTTTATGTTATTTACAGAAGCTATACTCGTCCAGTATAACTTGACTGATAAGCATACATATTTATCACAATAACAAAGAGAAGAACAAGTGAAAATCTTCAACACTATAAGAGACATATAAAAAATGAAAATTAAACCATTTTAGAAGTATGTGTATATGTTGTTTTCTCCATAGAATCAAAATTCGAACCTTTCTCTATAGAATTGTAGATCTAATCACTTTGATAGTGATAAAAACACACCACTATCAATTCAAACTGATCAAAACTGTTTGCTTGCTGAAAGCTAGTCATGAGGCTTCACATTACATATAAATAACTTTGTTTATGTCATAAATGAATATTTTTCAATTTTTCAGAAATTTTTTCATGAACAAAGAAACACGTATAGGGTTAAGTGGAGAAAATACAAAAATCAAATTCAGGGAAAAAAACAGTAGTCACCCTTGTTAATTGGCATATACAAAACCCCATGAATCTGAATCAGATTCTACATCTTAATCACTAGAAGAATGATAATTCTAAACCCTTTTCACCCAGCAAACTGAATTTCAAAATTGGCCCAGAAACTACTACGAGATACTTCACCATTCTTCCTTGTCAACAATCCCATCAGAAGGGCTCATTTTTCTTATACTAGCACAAATCAGATGACTAAATCCTGAAATTCATCATGGAATATAAATGGTTATTGATTCATCAAGCATGTGATTAAACCAAAAATCCAACCCTTTTTACCCTTATAAATTCTAGTCTCATCAGCCAACATAGTTCCCTTTTCTTCCTCATAAAAGTATCACTTATAAGGACCTAAAACGGTGGATGTTAATGGATGTTGTACTGCTATAAATTTCTTGGAACCAAACAGAGTGGTAAAAATAATACAATTTCCTTTCCAAACGCACAAAACATGTACATTCAGAAGGAGCCCATCTCAAGAATCCATACTACAAAGATCATCACGCACGAAAAGAGAACCAAAAAGAAAGCACAAAATACCAAAAAATTTTCCAAGTTCTTCTCCAGGCTCAATTCTCGATTCTTAAAAAAAAACAAAAAAACAAAAAAACAAAAAAAAAAACCCACCAATTTCTGCGGAAAATCCGACCACCAAAAGAGCCGAAAAGCACAAAATAGCAATAAAAAAATCAAAGAGAAAATCACGCATTTCTCATATATTCATTGAAAATTCAAGGACTTACTGTCGGTGCGTTAGTCCGCCGGTGTCAGAGCTTCAACCGCCGTCGGATGCCAAACCCTAGCAGAGAAGGAGGATGGCTTCAGTCGGCTGGCGCCGGAGCTTCCAACAGCCGTCAGATGCCAAACCCTAGCAGAGAAGGAGGATAGAGAGAGAAGTGAAGCAGAAGAAGAAGAAGAGCGGGCGAGAGATAGAGAGCGAAACGCGAAGAGCGAGAAGGAGGGAGAAGAAGTAGAAGAACTGAAGAAGTGAGAGAGAGACGTGATGAGGAAGAATGAGAAAGGAGAGAGCAAGAGATCGAGGAGTGGGCTGAGACTAGGACAGTAAGAAATCACTCCGAACCGATGAATTCGGCTGAGCCGAGCCGATCTTACTCAAAAATTACGAGTTTTTAATTTTTTATTTAATTTTTAGTTTTAATTATGCCTAACCCACACTGTGCGGGTAGGGACGCGGGGTGGGGTTACATGAACCCGAGATAACTCTATCCGGCTGAACATGTTCAAAGTAGGTAAAACAATGTCCAACACTTCAAATTCTTACTTTCATAAGTTTATGGACTTTATGAATTCGGCTGAGCCGAGCCGATCCTACTCAAAAATCACGAGTTTCTAATTTTTTATTTAATTTTTAGTTTTAATTATGCCTAACCCACACTGTGCGAGTAGGGGCGCGGGGTGGGGTTACATGAACCCGAGATAACCCTATCCGGCTGAACATGTTCAAAGTAGGTAAAACAATGTCCAACACTTCAAATTCTTACTTTCATAAGTTTATGGACTTTATGCATTTAAACTGTTAACTTATTTATGTTTTGGATTCACGGTTTGTGTAAAAAATACTTGTATGCTATAGTTGTTGAATTAGGACATTCTTTATTTATATTGGAAGTGTTTGATTTCAAAGTGAGTGTTTTAATTGTTCACCTTGCATTTAGAACTCATCTTGAAGGAAAGACATGTTTTGTTTGATAATGATTTCTTCTGTAACAAACACAGATTAATTGACTAAAAAGTGATCATGTGGTTCTTGAGATCACCAACCCGAGTAACCCGACCCTACCCGAGGTCACCCGAAAGGTTGCGGGTTTGTAGACTTAAGAGAGTGTCGCGGCTCAAAATTTTCTCAACCCGCACTGGTCGGGTAGGCTCAATTTTTCGGCTCAACCCTACCCTACCCGGCCGATTTACACCCCTAGCTGAGACCCCGCAAAATTTTCCCCTAGTTGAGCTTGTTCTTTTTACTAACTGTCTTGTTCACTTAGCATATTCGAGTTTTTAGTTCGAACTGAAATGTGACATATTTTGAAAATTTTTCACTGTAATAAAAAAAGTTATATGTGACATTTTTTGAGAATTTTTTACTGTAAAAATTTAAAACTGAAAACTCAAATCAGTGAAATAAACGTGACCATTTACCATCTCAAATTTTATTATTATAATATTTTCTCCTATAATAGTTTAAATTAAACTTTTTTATTATAATATTTTTCTTTCACTTATATAATTTAAATTATAAAATAAATATATTTACACTTATTTAATTTGCTGATTTAAATTACATTAATTTAAAATTTTTTATTTTAAGCAAAAAATTTTAAATAATGTGATTTAAACAGTAATTCGAATTAACATTTGAACGTATAATATTCGGATAAAGTCTTAAAACTAGTTTGAACTGAATTGGATTTTAAATTTTTTAAAGTAACTCATTTGAACTTGTTGTTTTTCCTAATTGAAAAATTAATATTGTTTAAGTTGATGATAATTAAAAATGTTTTACATTGAAATTTGAAAAGAAAATTTTTTACATTAAAAATTTTTTTACAAAAATATATTAAAAAATTAGTACAAAAAAAGCGTCCTTTAAGAAAACGTTACCTATAAGTACAGATTAACATCTCTATAAAAAATAAAAAAAATAAAAAAAAAAGAATAGAAATACAACTTATTAGGCATGTACGATTTTCAACATAAACTAGTAAAGCACGTTAAATAACATCAAACATAAGGGAGCGGGTCCAAAAATGACAGCAAATACAATTAGAGGGTCCACTACGACATCAAACAAAAAGGAAAAGGGTACAAAACGACAGAAACCAGAGCTGGGTTCCAATACGACATCAATCACAATGGAGTGGAGGTCACATCTGCGAACAGAAGGCGAATCTTTTTGACCGGGCAAAATTAGAGTTGTGCTAATGGTTTGAAAAATACAGGCATGTTGTTTTGCACTTAAATTTAAAAAAAATTTAAATTTAAGTTATAATTTTATTTAAATTTATATTTTTTTATAAAATTTGAGTTTTAATTTGAGTTTGAGATTAAAATTTGAGTTCAAATTCTCCTTTTAACTAAAGTTTATGAACTCAAACTCAAGTTAATGAACAGTATTTTTTCTATTATTAAAAATGTCATAATTTTTTCGTTTTAATTCCGATTGAGATTATTTTTTTATGCGTTCACAATGAAAAGACGAATAAAGCCCCACCTATATACCATATTAAAAATTTCCATCACCATTGATTTTTTATTAAAATACTATCCAAATACAAGTTTAAGTTTTGACTCATCCAATCACAAATTCAAAAAGATTATCATCTCAAACCATAACTTAAATGTACACAACCAAATAAAAATTCAAGTTACAACTTTAACTCAAATTCAACTCAAGATCTATACTTAAGTCACTATAACTCAAAAATACAAACGAACATGCCCTAGAGCTAATGGGGAGGGTCAAACTCTCTTTTGGATTATTTAGTTCAAACTAAATTGAACATTCAATTCAAATAAATGTCTTTACATACTTTTTCGTAAATCGAAGCGGTTCAAACTCAACGAACTGAGCTGAATTAGTGAACCAAACACGTGTTTTATTTTCCTTGTCTTTTCTAAAGAAAAAAAAAATCATTTCCTTTATAAGTTTTCTCCCACTTTTTTTTTTTTTACTTTTTTTTTTTACATCCCTTATGTTGGTTCCAAACACGGGAAGACAAAAATCTCTCACATTTCTTTTTTCTTTCCTCCAAATTATTTCTAAACACACCCTAAAGTGTAAAGGAAAAAGACAAAGTGGATGATTATAAAGAGAATTGAATTAACATGGCACCAAATTTCCTCTTTAATTACTGGTTAAGCCTTACCCCATAATATTTTATGTTCCATTTTTTGCCTTTTAGATTGGGTAAATATCACTTTGCCATCTATAGAGATGGAACATACAGAAACTCAACCCATACTTTTACCAACTAGCATTACGAAAATCAAAATCAAATCGCATGTAAAGAAATATTAACTCAAACTCTACTTTCTACCTCACAAAAAATAATAATAATTGATTAATAAAGATGGGACAGAGAATCTTTGGTCGTCTTTTATCAATATACCACCATCATTAGTGGTTAAATATTTGATAACATACCGTTTGATTTATAAATTTAAACCACAATTTTAATCTTTTTACCCGGTCTAAAAGATATAAAATTATGCAATTGAATAAAAGAAGAGAGATTAAAGTTTTATCTACCTAAAATTTAAGCAATTATGATTGCTATCTTCAAATTGATTATGTATTATACATCTCAATTGTATTATTATTTGAGTTTGGCTTGAATCGTATTGACTAGTTATAACCGAATCGCCGCTTTCTAATTGTAGATATATTTTAAACTTCAAAAATATAAAACAAATAGACTAGATAACAGATAGGTTTCAGAGAGTGAGTGAAAACAAATTCCCTAAAAAAAAAAAGTTCTAGAGACCGCGGATGAGGATAAGTAAAGTATTGTGTTAAATTCTAAATTCTTATTGTAAATTTTTTATGTGTCCAAAAAGTAATTTACATTTTTTTAGACTTTTTTTGATATGTCAACATATCAAGGGATCAAGTTTTCTAATCGTGAGATCTGCATAAAATTATGTATAAAAAAAAGTATGTAGATTTAACGGTTAAAAAAATCTGACTTACTAGTACACCGGCGTACCAGAGAATCTCTTTTTCTTAGTTCAGTTTGAATTTTTTAATTGAAATTTTATCAAATATTCAATGCGAGTTTCTCTCGTAGAACTATAGTTCTATTTTTTATATGTTTTCAGCCGTCAAATCTGTATTAAAAATTGTCTGTTCTGCACATTTTTTTAATTTCATTTGATTTTGAACAGATGTAACGGTCAGAATATAGGTCCTGCAGGTAGGACGGCCTACCGGAGACAGTCTCAATATTCAACAGAGTATTAAAAAAATACTAACATAATTCTTTTTGTCACTCTCTCCAATCACAATTTGACACGTAAATTTTACAATCTCATTTTCTGCTTATATAATGTTTTATAATATTAGTGGAGTTACGCGTCAAACAATAAATAAAAAAAATGACAAAAAAATAATGTTAATATTTTTTTAGTACTCTAAAATAATGCTAGCATTTTTTTATAATACTTAGAGTGATGCTAGCCTTTTATAATTTTTTTTTAATGAGAATCACAGTAGTTTTTACTATTCTTAAACATGTAAGCGTTTCCCTATGTTTACAAGTGTTACATCCCTATGCGTTGCATGCATGAGCGTGTGACCTTTTCATTGGCCTCCACTCCACTCCTCTCTCTCTCTCTCTCTCTCTCTCTCTCTCTCTCTCTCTCTCTCTCTCTCTCTCTCCTCAGTAAGAGAGGCAGTGATAACATACATGATAACATTCTCTCAATACAAATCGGAATATCTGTTATATCCCCAGTCCCATTCGTATCAGCCGTTATCTTTTCGCAGCCATATTATCAGCTTTTATCCACTTTCCATATTTAAAAACCAAAAGAATGTTTTCATGAGAGCCTTCCTTATATATATATACATATATATATATATATGTATATATATATATATACACACTCTGGGACCTTCCAATAATATGTCACAATCTGGTTTCCCCCATCTTTTGAATTTTACTTTTTCTTGGATCAGATTTCATCGCAGTCCTTGAATTTTTACATCCAAGTTTCAATACAAAGAACGATGCCTACTGATATGAAGAACCTGCTCAATAATAACTCATTAGCCTTCACTCTTTGGTATGTTTTTTTTTTCTTTGCATGGTTGTTTATATTTGATCCTCGTCTTAATTGTTATGTTTCTTTCTTAATTATACGTATTCCTGAATTTTGGGGTTTCAAGATTAATGATATAGGGTCCATAATGTTCCGTTTTCATTTGTGACCATAACCTCATTCATATATCCTATTAAAATTTTTTATCAACATTGAGTTTTTATAAGAATATTATTTAAATACAGATTAAAAGTTTTGACTCATCTAAATACAAACTCTAATAGATTCTCAATTCAAAGTCACAAATCATAACTCAAATGTGCACATCCAAACACAAACTCAAATTAGATTCTCAACTCAAATTATAACTCAAACATTTCCTCAAATTAAGATTTAACTCAAGTCATGCAATTAATTTTTTCCTTAATTATTTTTGCTGTTCTAAAATAATAATAATAATAATATAATATTGAGATCTAGTTATGTGGCTATTCAAGAAAATAAGGGGAAAAAAATGTTAGGGCCTTACTTGGAATTTCATTTGAGATTTTAATCATTTGACTGAAAACCGGGGATATGAAATCTGTATTAATTTCTTTGTCGGAGATCAATGTTTGTTGCAAAATAGAAACATTTGATAATTCTAGCTGTACTTTTCCCTTTCTTTTCCTCGTTTCTGCATCTAATTAACAGAAAATGTGTCCATATACACTTGTGTGTATTTTTTTTTTTTTTTTTTTTTTGGCGATTCACCAGCATATCAAAAATATCAACCATGACACACTTGTGGTTCTCCTTCTCTGTTATTAAAAGTTTTGCCATTGTTCATTTTCTTCTCTCTTCTCCTTTTTGGCTTCTTATAATTGTTCTTCACTGTATGATCTGCAGGAGTAACAAGATGAAAAAAGCGCAAACTCAAGATGATGGACTGGCAAGAGCACTAATGCAGAAGAAGATTGCGAAAAAAGTTACGTCGTCGGCCGAGAGCAATAAACGTAATAATTCTTCAGAGAAGATTATGGCAGGACGTACAAAATCAGATCACATAACGTCGTCGAAAAAAGCTTGCATTTGCGCACCAACAAACCACACCGGCTCATTCAGATGCCACCTCCACCGAACCAAGAATATCATGTCATGCACTTCACAACAAGACAGAGACGGCGACGACAAGAAGAGTAATGGCCGTGAGACCAATAGTGTCCGTACAATCGGTGATGGCCAGCCCATGCTGTCCAGGTTCGGTAGAGCTGCTTGCAAAAACATGCCATTGACGACGGGCTGCCTGGCCTCATCAAAGCCTGAGAAAGTCAAGTGATCGAGTTTTTGTTCTTTTGGGGTTCTCAATTCCCCTTGTAAATATACGAATAAATCCTACGTACTTTTTAGCTAGGGAAGTAGAAATCAATCCTTTGGAAGGATATGTTATCCTTTTCACTGTACTTTTTTTTTAAAATTCCCTTACGTGTATAAATTCCCCCTAATAGAACTGAATAGATTAATCCCAAAGGGTTTTTTGATTTCTGAATGCCTTTTTATCATGCGAATTTCATCTTTCTTGTGTTCTTTGTTATATTTGTATCATCTCCAACTAGTCATGTCGGGATATCTTGTATTTTTGTTATTTTTCCTTAGAATTTCACTATTATTATTATTTTTTTGCTCGAGAAAATTGACAGCTTGTTGATATTATTTATCTTATGTGTTTGTGGAGGATATGGCTGATGATTACGAGCGGAAGGAAAGGTACATGTACACACTGTCACATTGACGTAATAGGCTATTACGTTTGGTTCATAGATTAAAATTATTATATTAAAATTATTTTTAATTTACGTGTATTTTTTATGAGAGAAAATACTGTAACAAACCATGAACCATGATTCAAATCATGATATGAATTTTCTTACCAAACATGTCTTCACAAGTGAATTATTTGATTTGATTTTCAAGATTCTTTTCTAAAAGACAGCTCAATATAGTTTTCTTAGCAAAAAATAAAAAAAAATCAAGAGTTGGAAAATGATATTTAAACAAAAAACTTTAAGAATTAATGACTTTCTCTGGTGTTTTTTTTTTTTTTTTTTAAATACCGGTGTTCTTTACTTATTAACTGTCAAATTTATATTACTTTTTCAATTTGATTTAATTTTTAACCAAATTTAATACAGAGCTGATAAACACTGAACACTAGAGAAATTCCCTAAGAATTATAGTTATAAGAATAAACCCCTAAATAAACAGTGATTCAACCCGTATGAGAAATATATTTCTGTAATTTGCTTTATAAGAATCTTAAAAGAATGAAAAGCTATAAGAATTAAGACGGCATTTATAACCCCTAAATAAACCACACCCACAAATAGAACGTTATTGGTCCTTAAGATTTTGTGTTACCTTTACACTACAATGATTCAACACACATAGAAACCATAAAAACTACATATGTATAAATAAATAAAAGCGTATGGATCAGGAAACTTGCAACGCTCTGACTCGGGCGGTTAACTCTCTAACTTGGCTCCTCAAGCGTTCGGGATTACAGAAGAAATCCACAAAAACCCGTCGCTGAAGCGCAACCTCTTGGGAATGATGTTTTACAATCTGCATTCCAGAATAGAGTATATACATAAACATATATAAAGCTATAAAAAGTCCAAGTCTAAGTAGGGAAAATGCTATAAGGCACCGTTCATTTCACATATTCAAGTTTTGCTACAGTAAAAAGTTTTCACAAACAGTCACATCTAACTTTTTTGCTACAGTAAAAAGTTCTCACATAAAATCACATCTCAACTCGAATTAAAAACTTAAATCAGCGAACTAAACGGACCCTAAAGTAATAAGATAAAAGCAACCGGGAAAAGTAAATAACCTTTTTTTTTTGGGTTATAAAAAAGCCATTGGTAAGCTGGTGTTTTTCATCACTTGAGACCATTCAACAGTGAGGGGGGGAAAAAACCACGAGCATACCATCTATTTTGTTACTGTACAGATCATCGATAGACTCCTTTATCAAACGAGGACAGTAAAGGAAACAAACAAAGATTACCTCATTCTTCTTACAGTGCTCGAGTGTCACCTCCTCGACCGCAGCAGAGAGTTTTGCGTTTATCTTTTCCATTTCATCAAGCTCCTTCATCAACGGCTGGTGAAGATGTTAATTGACACAGGGCAAAGACATTACATTGTAGTGAAGGAAAATAAACTTTTCAAGCAAAAAAAAAAAATGTTAAAGGAAAATTAAGGGTGCATAATTATGCAGATGTCTTTGTAATCAAAATTTCTAGACAGCATCAAAGATGATCAAATTAATATTGCAGTCATCATATTTTGTTCTATTTATCATTTCGCAAAGGAAGACTCATAATTATAGACTCGACTCATAATTATAGACTCGACTAGTTACCAGCCAAACCCTAAATTAGGTTGGTAAAAATCTACTCCTGTCACTGGAACAGAACACGATTCTAAAACTGAGCAAACAAGGTAGTGGTAACTGCAAGTGAAAAAAGTGAGTTAAGAACAGTAAAGATAAGCTAACAGGGAAGGTTTGTACCCGAGGAGTCAATATCGGTTGTGCCGTAGTTGAAGAGGCAAAAAGTAACTGCTGTAAACTTTGAATTAAAGTGCACCTGATACAAAAAACCAGATGACTTCTTTGAAGGCTTGTTCATTGATCGTAAGACATGGTACCTAAACAATAAGTGAGAGTAGGGTAACTTACAGCTCATTGATACATCTATTTCTGTCCTCAGGAAGAGAGTTTCCAAGATCAGACTGAAGGGTCATTAAGTCAGATTGAAGACTAGATATCTGCTGAACGATGCCAGGAGCAGAGACGTATGTCGATAACCCAGCTTGAGCATCTAGAAAATGAGAGGTAAGCAAAATTTTTATATTAAATTCTATTGCAAAAGAGGTAGATAAGTAATACTGGTTATCTGGCGATTCAAAGCACTGTCATTACTTGAATGCAAACTTAAAAGATCCCTAACCCCATGCAGAAAATGGTCTTGATCATCCACTCCTCCTTGTTCTTGTACATCAGATGAAGCTTGTATCAATGCCAGGCAGCGAACCTACAAAAGTATATTCCCAAGGAAATATGTTTACACAATTAGAGAATATGCAAAATGAGTTCATGTAGTCGTAATTAGGAAAATGGGCGGATGAAAGGATACAGGACACTGAGAAAGCTAGATATACTGATGTCCCCTTGAGGCACATATTAAACAATAAATATAACAAACTGTGTCCAAGTGAACTTGTTTTCCCCCTACAAAAGACGGTACATAGTGAACCATGAATAAAACAACATCAAAAGTTCATAAACAGGAAGAATTAAAGAAAAAGGAAGAGACGGAAGAAGAGGAATTGAGGAGAATACTGACAAATAAAAGCAGTATAGAAAGAGAACTGTTACACACACACACACAAAAAAAAAAAAAAAGGACAGAAGGAGACGTGTTAATATTTGTACGCGTACAAACAACAAAATGAGTAACAACCAACCAACCAAAGATGAGAGCTATACCACACGGCCTTTTGTTGCTGACAAGTAGGCTTGCAGCTCCGATTCAATAACTTTGAGCAAAGAATATGCTCCGAGCATTTTCTTCTTCTCCAACTGACAAGCTATCTTTAAGAACTGATGTCTTGCAAGCTGATTAACAAGATGATTTATGAACTGACAAAAGAAATAAGCAATATGAAGTGTTAGTATAGAAGACTGGAAAGTTTGGTAATATGGACATGTATCTTTCTGAGCCATGACAACCCCGCATTAAAAGATTAATACAAGTATTTAAAACAAAGACCACAGTTCCTTCTAATATTGCAAACAATTATTTTTTGAGGAATGAGCCTAAAAGCTATCAACATTCTTCTTTCTATGAAAACAATCAAATAAAGGTTTAAAAAGGTACAGCTGACAGTACCGCTTTCTGCCGGTTGATATAGTATTCTTGGCGCATGACCTTCAAATCATAATCACCTAAAATTTTATTTAGATTGCATCAACAATAATAGTAAGATTTTCAGAACCCAAAAGGTAAATCAGATAGGTTCAAAATACACTTGCAAAAAGGGAAAGCTACCAAAAAATACCTTGCAAAATGTATGTGTCTTGGAGTTGGGCCAGCTCCCAACAAAGATCTGGAATAGTCTAAAAGAAATGCGCATTTACATTAAAATAGATAGAAAAAACTAAATGCGACCACAAAAAAATACTATTTTTCTTATAAAGGATAGTACTAGATGAGACATCCACTATTGCAGAAAGATCAGGTGGAAAAAAACCTCGGACAATAATTTTTCTTCCTTGTGATAAAGATTTGATAGTTCTCCAACCAATTCAGAATGCTTTCTCCTGCTCATTATGGAACATTGGTTATTACAGATAATAGCATTTTCTGCTACAGCAAGATGTACAAGATTTCACCAATTTATACTGATGTTATTAAGCCTAGTATACAGCCATATTTAATTTTATTTTTATTTTTTTGGAAGTGTAATTCTGTTTCAAAACAACGTACAATTTTAATGCACTTTCATTTATATTTTGGAGTGAGGGTCAGGGGATTGTCCATGTATACGCAGGTATATATCTTGCAACATCAAGTCATAAGAGACGCAAAAGAGATAAGACAGCAAAGCATAATGAATTAATTAGTAAGTTTGAAACTTATACCTGAGAGAATGAATATCAAGATGAATGTGTGCTTCATCTGAACTCACTTGAGATCTAAGTGCCATTAGAATAGCTTGCTGCTTAGTATTCTCAACTTGGGCCTCCACCCACTGTCTTTCACTTGTCCCAAAGCTGTTCCAAGAGTTGATTAGTGAAGAATCATCATAAAACTTTAACATGCATTATCCAAAAGTAAAATCTCTAAGGCACCTTAGAATTGTTCTTTTCATATTAAGAGAAAAGTTGAAAATGACATCAGCAAGTGTCATAGGTCCCCGCCTCTTAGGTTTGTATATGCGAGAAGGGGAAGGAGAGACGGAAAGGGGCAGGTTGGTAATTTGGGGTAGCAATGAGCATCGGGATAAGGAATTCTGTTAGTAAGAGTGAGGAGTTAGTTATTGGCAAGGAGAATAAATAACCTCGAGGGGAAAATAGGAAGGATCGTGAATTGAGTGAGGAATAGATTCTGTGGAGGCTAGGAGGAGTCCTCGAACTCTCCTCCGTCCTTTATTTTCAGTTGTAACTTTTCTTGTAATTGGTTTTCCGATTGATTCAATACAAGGAGCCAGGCCCTTTTCCTGGTTATTGTTTCCATTCTTGCCGTAATTTACCTTCTCAGCCGTAGGGTCCTAACAAAGTGCTAACTAACAAAATCAATAAAAGGAGGAGAAGAATCAACATGAAGGAAGATTTTTACCAAGAAGCTCAGCTCTCCCCCTCTCTGAAGTTAAGAAAAGTAATACTATAAACCGTATTCAACTGCTGGGTTTTAACACCCAAAAAATATGATCGGAAAAATATAGCTTTCCTTTAGGAAAATAAAAGAAATCTTCTTAGCAGGAGTCACTTATAAAAAGCCACTGTTCCAAATACTTCCGTAGAACACGGTTATATACAAAAGCAAAATAAGTCTTGAGAAAGTGAATAGAAAAACCAAGGAAGACAAGTCAAACATACACTGAACGAAGTCGTTGCAATTCAGACACACGTTGATGATGAGACGTTTCTAGATCTGCAGCAAACACATAGCCACATAATCATGAACATGATGTGGAAAAGATTCCCAAAATAAAAGGCCAAAACTCGTAGAAATGACTTCTTTCTTTTCCACAAAAAAAAAAAAAGAAAAACAAAGAGAAAACTTTCATTAAAAAAAAAAATAAGAGAGAAAACTTTCATTCTTGCAGTAAATAAATAAATAATTCCGAGGTATCTGAAAAGCAGTCAAATCTAAACATGTAAAAATTGAGAGCATAAACTTATAGAAGGGAAACTTTTGTTGAGAAGAGCATAGAAGGCAGATAGAAACATTACCTCGTATGATGATATTTGAGATATCATCAAGACTCACCCATGAACACTTAGATTTTCCATCCTCGGCAACTAACCGAAAAGGACCCTGGTAAAACAAAAGGATCGCATAATGAGACAATTATGTGTCCATGTGCGTATATTAACAGTAGTGCCATACTAGCATACCGTGTCCAGCTGCTTAGAAAACCACTGATTTAGCTCGTTTATACAATCTGAATCTCCGACCAAGTATGGATGAAAGTCAGAGTAAGCTAAGTAGATCCCATCCTCTGCATTCCAAAGTAAAGCTAATCAGATGAGAAGCAAAAAGTGATAGGAGATTCCACTCAATTAACGCACGGTTAATCATGAATTACTCTTGGTGTCTTATAATACCTTGACATCTCTCTGATGGAATACGCACAAATGAATAGATGATACTTACTCTTCAAGTAATTGGAATAAATGAGAATTACTTTTCAAATACTCTATGGCCAATGCAAGTAAAAGATAAGAAAAGGGAAGAAGAAGAAGAAAATACCGTCCCCAGAATGATAATGAGCCAACTCTTGTGCTGTAGAAGCAATCCTTCCAAGCACTGCATTCATCTAAATCACAGTAAAGAGCATTGAAAAAATAAGTAAGAAATACGAACAGTACATTACAGATGGCATTACTTTCTTACAAAGTATAAATACCAAAGCATATAATTTAAAGTACCTAACAAATCTTCTTAGCTCTTACTAGCTGCATTGGATGAGACTACATAATAAATTTCATGTCTTTAAAATACACTTACGTTTAATTCATTTCATTGAAAATAATAACTAAATTACTTTATGACTAAACAAAACCTCCCAAATCTAAATAAAACAAAGAAAAAACCATAAGTCCTACTATACCTGTAAATTTCTTGCAGAGAGGCTGTCATCTATGGTTGTAAGGTGCCCATTAACAGTAGACGTAGCAGCAACTCTTGCCCTTCTCCCTTGTATCAAAGCAGAGGCCTGACCGGATAGCATGTCAAATTGAGACTGCAAATTTCTAAGTTGTCTCTGCAAATCTAAAGCTTCAGCTTTATAGGCCAAAGTTGCATCCCTAAAGAAAGCAGAAACAAATCAGAGCTCTGGAAGCAGAGCCTCATAGATCATCAATTACTAGCCAAAACAATTCCAACTCTAAAATGCCTAGAAGAGGTGAAGTAAACAATAAAACTATGTACGCCATAAAAAAAAAAAAAAAGGAAACATCACTAATACAGGTAAGATCATCTCCAATACAAATACTGATGGCAATGCTATATTTGGCACTAAAAAGTATGAAAATGACATACCTGATGCATCATTTTGATTTGTGTTCCAATGCATGATGATATTTCAAACGCTATATCTACATTTTGTCATGATCATTAAGTTTCGAAAGTTGTAAGGACAAACTTTTACATTTAAAATAATTTAAAAATGCCAATATTGTAATTATTAAAGGAAAAGATCATAACATTTACCAATAGCAATGGCAAATTGCCAAGTTTAGCACCAGGAATAGCACCTACTCAAATACTATAATTTGGCATTGACAGTTTGACACACTAATTTGGCATTGCATTGGAGAGTCTCTGAGGAGTTATAATAAGTCTCCATCATTTGAAAACGTAATCAATTAAAGGGAAAACCTAATGAATATCTAAAATCAGCAGTCAAGCAAATAAATAGAAGACCAATCTCAAAGAACGCATAAACGTGGGATAGAAAGCAACAAAAGTGTACATATACGATTCGGTTTTGTGTCTTGCAAAAAATAACACCCAATCACCCTGCAATTCTCCCCTCTCGTGCGTGTTGACACAATTTGACGTGAAATAGATATTCAAAAATAGGCAGCTATATTGCACAATCAGCACCAAAATTTCTTCAAGATCTTCAGACTCGGATCATAAAGTATGGTCTATTCATATATTAGTCATTTTTAAGAACCATCAGAATGTATGTTACCGAATGTCTTTCAATCCTTCTTCGGCTCCGAAAACCGCTTCTTGATTGTCTCTCCTGGAAGCAAAGGCTGAAATGCTATCGTAAGCGAAGTCCAAGTCTTCCCCCTGCCAAGAATTACGCTCAATATCAGTTTTACTGTTCGATCAAATTCCGCAGCAAATAAACCACACTCTAAAAGTCTAAACATACAACAATAGGCTCATTTCAATTTCTTTTCATTCCCAATTTTTTCGCTTAATTTTATAAAAACAATAAAAGAAAACCTAAGAATAGGAAACGGAGAAAATTTACCTCCAGTAGCTTCCCCTCTCGAAGAAATTGCTCATACCTAGAAAACCAAATAGTAGATCATCACACCCAGTGAAATTGCAGTTCATACGCAAAAACATCGAGCCAACCACACAAGAAAAGACGAGAAATTGAGTAGAATCAGAGGATTTGAACAGAATAGCGGATGAAACCGTCGTTTTTCCCGGATTTTCTCGGGAAGCAAACAAAGGAAAACGTAGAGAAGAGAGAGAGAGAGGGGAAAGGAACGTAACTGGGAAAGCTCGGAGAGAGAGAGGACATTGGAGGGGCGGAGGCTGGAGCAGATCCAGTCGAGGATGGGGCGTGCGTCGTCGTATTGGAAGGGCCATTCGAAGCTGTCAGGGTCCAATGCCTCTGCGCCTTCGTACCCTAATTCCCCCAACAGCGAGCACAGTCTCGCCCCGCTCATTTCCGATCTTCGTCTTCTTCCTCTTCTCCGACCGGACTCTTTGATCTCCGACTTCCCTCTTCTGATATTCCTCGGCGACCGAGCTCACACAACGTTTCAAAGTTTAACTTAACAGAAGAAAATAACGGACAGTCTTTGGGCGTTTTCGGGCGCCGGCCTCACTAACGCCGTTCATTTCACCTGTCACGTTAAAATTTAAATTTTATTAAGTAAAACACTCTTTAAAATAATTAAATTTAATTTTTTTATTATAATAAAAAAAATTATATAAAATTACATTTAATTTAAATTAAAAAATTAAAATTAACGAATTAAACGGTCTTAAATCATAATATAGGTTATTTAAAAAAAAGGGTGATGTTTCCCGTTGTACACTCTGGACAAGCTTGTCCTCTTATTTGAATTGCTTTATCATCACGTAATCTTTGAATTGCTTTATCATCACGTAATCGACTTGTCCGTTAGGTTGAGGCTTGACAAATTTGTACTTTCATTATAATTTACAAGAATAACGTCGTTTATTTAGGCTTCGTTTAACTTCGCAGATTCGAGTTTTCAATTTGAGTTGAGATGTGATATTTTGTGATAACTTTTTACTGTAGCAGAAAAAGATAGATGTGACATTTTCTGAAAACTTTTTACTGTAGAAATTTAGAACTGAAAACTCGAATCAGTGAAATGAACGAAACCACTTTTTGCTAATCAAAACAACCAAACTAATCCCCAATAGGTACTGCAATTCAAGTTTTCTTTCCTACTCTTGGTATCGGCAATAGACATCAAAAACAGCTACGGTGTTGGCAGAAGAGGAAGTCGGGCTGAGGCACCATCCAAGCCTCTAATACTGGAAACCATGAGGTCGGACATTTTTAGCAGTTCTAGTTCTACTCTCTATCCTGATCACTATAACATGGTAATCGCCATTGATTTGGTCAACTTTTTTTTTGGTTGGAAAGTTGTTAAGATTCTTTTTTTTTTTTTCAAATGAAAATTTGATGCAACGGAAAGAATAGAAAGAATTCTACCGACCTAACCTGGATGGAGAATTTTCAAATCCACCTAAAAGAAGCCCTACAAAGAATTAGTGAGCACTGAGCCGACCTTTTACCTCATATTCAGTGTCAATTCCTCTCCCTGAAATAAACTTGGTCGTTTGTTTTCTCCCTTGCCCAGCTCACAATGTCGTTCTCTCCCTTCCTTCTCTTCCTTGTACACGCGTGGATGGAAATCAGAGTGAAATAGATTGAGCTTCGTTGGGCTTATAGGTCTGATGTGGATCAACTTGGTTTTGGGTTAGGGCACGTTGGTTGGGCCTAAATAATGAAAAAATTACGGAATTTATTTAAATTTTTATCTTTTATTTTTAATAAATACTTTTTTATTTCTTTATTTTTAATAAATATTCTTTTTTTAATTATTTAATTAAAAAAATTATGAATTAAGAATAATGAGGTTTAATTTATAAATTAAAATAATGAGATTAAAATTATTTTTAATTTACGCATATTTTTTTAAAAAAAATACTGTATATTTCAAATCATGGTAAATTTTTTTAAGGTCCGTTTAGTTTGTTGATTCGAATTTTTAATTTGAGTTGAGATGTGATTTTATGTGAGAACTTTTTATTATAGTAAAAAAATTAAATGTGATTATTTGTGAGAATTTTTTACTGTAATAAAACTTAAATTTTAAACTTAAATTAGCGAAATAAACGGAACTGTCTCCTAAAAATTAAAAATGCTGACTCGTGCTTCGAAAGAATATTTCTATGAGATTATCCCAAATAATTGAACTTGATCTGCAGCTTGGGAGAGAAAAGCTCTCGAACAGAGATGAGCTCTTTTGTCAGCGCCGCCGCAATGATGGGTCTCGTCGACAACGACGTCACCGCGAAGGAGTCCGCCACCTCCCTCGACATCTTCGCCGTTAAACCCACGCTGGCTCTGACTAGTCCTAGTCCTCTCTCGTCGGCATTCGCGGTCCGGACTCAATACTTGAAGCACGACTACCCCTGGATCTAGAATTCTAATCACGACGCCTTACTCATCTCCGGTGTCGTAGTGTCCTCGCCGGCGCTGATCGCTCTCCATGAGGATTCCAACCGTTGTGATGCCGTCTTATTTGCGTGATTCGGACAGGTCGGGCCATCCTCGTTGAAGGTGAGCCGTGGCTTGAGCGGAGTCGATGATGTGCTTTCTTGGTGGAGCGAGGACCCACGCCGGAGACACACGAACGGGCAGCGGCGGAACCATCACGCTACCTACGCCATTCGGATCGCCGGAGCTATGACTTTGTGGAGGTGCTGGTGATGCAAACTTGGTTTGGGCAAATTCAGAGAGATTTGGTGGGTTGGTTTGGTGAATCTGTGATTTGGGGTTTGTTCGGTTGGTTTGGCTGTCATAGGAGAGGTGAGATGGTGATGATGGATGATGGTGGTGGTGGTGATGAGATGGTGGTATAGTGATGAAAATGGTGGACGGTGAGATAGTGGTGAAGAAGTGCTATTTGCTTATTGCACCGTTTTCTCCAGACATAGTTGAAACCAGATGGAAATATCCCGGTATCAAAATATTTCTCGGCAAAGGGAACAAAAAAAGAAGCGGACTTAAACCCAGAGGAGAGTTCTTCCAAGGTTGATTCTGCAAAATGCTTGGAAGAAGAGCCTGAATCAAAAACGAAAATGGGACCTTTCTCTTCAACTGAAAAAGGAGAAGATGACTCCAAATCTAGTGTCTCTTCATTTCCTTAGGGGGGTGCAGAGAAGTGCCAAATAAAGCGCGACCGTGAAGAGCTTTCAGTTGATTCGAAGTCGAATACAGATGAAACTAAGAAGCTACTTGACAGTCCAGGGAGAAAGAAAGTAAAAATTGAAGAGTGCTGGTGATTATAAACAACCAACAGTACTTGCATATTTTGGTAAAAAGTAATCATGGCTTGTGCCCCATATGCATAGGGGGATTTCGTGATGGTCAAGAAATTGATGACCTTTTTTTTTTTTTTTTTGTAATCTGTAGTTACAACTTACAAGCAGATCTGTTTTGGGCCTTTTGGCCAAGTTCAAATCGCTTTGTTGTGATTCTGCATTTCGTTTACCTATCAAACGGTGTATTTTGTGCCAACGAAAGCTGATCTTGAGCCATTTATGCTTTGTACGATTCTAATATTCGTTTTATGTAGAATTATTTCCTTTGTGTTCAAATGCGTGTGCGAATAAGGATTTCACACCAGATCTTCTAGAAAGAAAGAAAAAAGCAGTTTTGAAGCTTTACATCATGACTCTCAATATTTGATTGTCTTTGACTTGCACTAATTACAAAAGAAGCAATCTGTCTGTTCAAACAAGAGGACTATTGCGAGCCCTTATTACACAATTGATAGAAAAAGGAAGAAACCGCCCGAAGAAGTTGCAGTTTACAATCAACAAAGGGGAAACACCTGGGGACGTAGAAATGGCAAAGACCAATACACACCGTCAATCAACTGTGCATTTGGTGCCATCTTCGTTATGATTTTCCTTAGCATCCTTATAGGACCGGCCATGAATCCCCACTGCACCGCCGCGCGTGATCCAAGAGAGAAACCACGCCGCTTATTACCGAGTCGCACGGTGACGCCTCTCCGCCGCCTCAGCCGCCTTTTAGGGCGGCACCACCCGACCAACATGGTGGAATTTGAGAGCATGGATATGGTTATGTCACCCCTTCTCAACATTTCTTGGCTGACTTTTATTGTTTTGTGGCTGTGCTTGGTACTGTACTTTGTGAATTCTAGTTTGAATCCCGGTTTCTTTATATATCGTTGTGTTAAAGATGAATCAATGATGGAGGCGATAATAGGCAGCAGCAATTATAGCAATCATGAAGCTTTGAGGGCCTGATCAAATAGTGAAGTATAGTAGTACCCTACCAAGGAGAATCTATTCTATATTTTATGTTTGGTTTGTGGTAGCCATCATTAAAGAGAGTTCAAAAAAAAATTTAGGTGATGAGATCAAAGATGTACTTGTCATCGTAGAATCATATCAATATCAAATTTTTTTATTATTATTTGATGCTGACAACCTGAAAATATTAAATATTAAATCATTTTGGACTGTTCTAATTAAGTTCTTAATTATGATAAAGCTTTAAAGGTTTATCCTATAAATATTGGTGGGTTAGAGTTTAAAAATGAGTTATTGCAACAATAAGGTATATATGATTTGAATATCAAAGTTGGAATTTAATTTAGATATAGGCCCCGTTCATTTTACTGATTCGAGTTTATAATTTAAATTTTGTTATAATAAAAAGCTCTCATAAACAGTCACATTTAATTTTTTTGTTACAGTAAAAAATTTTCATATAAAATTACATCTCAATTCGAATTAAAAAATCAAATCAATGAACTAAACGTGTCTATATTTTGTGCGCTTCATTACAAAAGCAAAATCTCTAGGAACTTAATTTATCGGATATGGGGTTATAATTGCTGATAGATTTTGGGATGCAATTATTGTTTCCTACCAAGAAAAAAAAAAGTAAAAGCTATTAGTGTGTTTTCATTAAATTACTAATTAATTTCAGATGTATTATTAATTTTGTCTCAGCTTTTGCTCTTTGGCGCCTTGAATACCTAGAGTTTGTTTCCAATTGAAGGCATGTTTATGCCCACCTCACAAGACTCCTTTTATTAAAGAAAAAATTTTGTAACTTTTAAAAGTGTAAGTAATCATTGTATTGTTTAACAAATCGCCATTTTATTACAAATAAATTCTTCATTTAAAAAGCAGCTTTTGTTGTATTTACTGTATATGTGTGAATGATATGTTTCAACCATACTGTTTTATATTAAAATACGGTTAAACTTTCATAAATTAATGCTTTTAAATCATGAAAATTTATTAATTAATTAAAATATTATTTAATTAATATATTTGGATGAGTTTTCTAAGTCGGAACCAACCAACAATATAATTAAATTGAGATTATTAAATAATAGTTATCGAGTATTAATTTATCTAGGTTATTATGTATCATTTGTTAAAGACTCTTTGACAACTTTGGACTTCTTAGATTGAGTTCAGGTCTCGTTCAGTTTGTTGATTTGAATTTTCAATTTAAACTGAGATGTAACTTTATATGATAACTTTTAACTGTATTAGAAAAAGTTAGATGTGACTTTTTTGTGAGAACTTTTAACTGTAACAAAATTGGAATTAAAAATTCGAATCGGTGAAATGAACGAGACTTCAATGACTTCATAGTTCATACATCCATTCCAAACCATACAAAGCTCTAACACCAGTCTCACTCATGCAACAACATTTAAGAAAACTAGCTAGATAATAATAATAATAGGAGTTGTCTATAGTCCCCCAGTTTGAAAATGGGGGACTGTTTGTGCCATCATAACGGGGCCATGTACCAATTATAACTAGCTAAAAGCCTAGCGTAATTCTCTTATATTGAGTCGTAACAATTACTCTTTTGAAAACTAGAAGTCATTTTTAAACATGTAATAATAAATCACTGTCATGTACACCTGTCATGAATAATTATATGAAAATATTAAAAGACACATCAATAAACGATTGTCGTTTTTACTGTTAATATCAATCATTCAATCCTAACTGACTGTCATTTTAAACCTGAATAATATTGTTGTGAAGAATTACATCTGTCATGTTCTTTTTTTTATAGGCATATTTGATCATATATGAACATTTATTTAGAACAGTACATGACAGTGTTTTATTTGTCATATACTCAAAAATGACTTTTGATTCTTAAAATAGTAACTATTATGACTTAATACAAAAAAATTACGCTAATCATTTAATCGGTTATGTTAATTCTTTAACCTCCCCATAAAAATGGTGAGAGACCACAGAAAAACCATAATAAAACCAAAAATTGCGTGAAAAATTCATTATTTTTGGTAAGTAACTTGAACATTACCTTTGTTTCTTTCCGTTTTGAGGTATTTTGTCTATTACTTAAAGTCAACTTTAATGAATTGTTCTTTTCACATCTCGGTGGAGATAGCCAAACCAGAAAAAGCTTCATCCTCCGTTTTTTCAAATTTTTATTTTTATTTCTTTTGTTGTTCCCTCCTTATGATTTTTTTTTTTTTTACCATATCAACTTGAAGTAAACACATAAAAAACGTAACACTTCAAATTTAGGAATGTCGAACTTATTTTTATTTTAAATTTTAAACATCTAAATAAATGTTAATTATATAATAAAATTACTTATAATTATTTTAAATAACACTTAATTAATCGAACTTTATAAAAAAAACATGTATGATAGAAAGATTAGTTCAGATTTTTGTTAAGGAAAAAAATTACACATCTATGATAGAAAACGAGAGTAAATCTATATGAACAAAAAGAATACTCTAAATAAATATCAAAAAATGTCAAAATTTAGTACATATTATACTTGGAGATAAATTTATTGCCAAGTATAACATATATATTAAATTTAGTATCAAGAATAGCATCATATTGAAGAACGATTTTTCTATTGAAATGCTTTAATTTAACGTTGACGCACTAATTCAATATTACATTTGAAATGCTTTTATTGTGCATGAAAATTGGGATGAGTCAGTAGATGTGAAATTATTGTGTAAGTAGGATAGTAGAGATTCTTTCTTTTTTCTTTTTTTTCTTTATAGATTCTTATTGTTAAATTTTTTTACTATTTTTTTAGGAAGCTATAGAAAGTAGAATGAAGATAAAGATTTTCATAGTGTATCCTTTTTTTTATCTCGGAAACTAGACAATTAAATTGATTTAGGCAAATCACAAAAGAGTAATTATAATCTTTATCTATTTTCCCCCTTTTTTATATTCTTTGAATTTGAACGACTGTATTTTTAGGCCTTTTGTGATTATTGGGTCACTTCTTTTTTATAGATGTTTTTAATGATTTGAAGGTTAAAATTCATGAAAATCTATTGTCTTAGTGACAGTAATTGAAATGATTGATCACTATATAAATACAATGAGTATGTTTCAAGGAAAAAAATACTTAAATATACTTAAGAAAATACCATCTGAACCAAAGTGAAAAAAAAAGCTAAAACAATTATAAAATAGCCCAAACCATATATATAATGACGAGAAAGAAGCAATGATCTTTTATTGTTCAGCATTTCCATGACCAAAATTTGTTTAAAAAAATATATAATTCATATATAAATGTTATTTGGAAAAGTTGGCGTCTTGATGGTAAATGTGGTGGATAATTTCAGGCAAAAAAAAAAACAAATAAAACAACTTAAAAAAAAAAAGTTATGACAAAAAAGAAAAAATACAAGTGAAGAAGAGAATAATAAATCATCAAAATCAAATAAACAAAAACAGAGAGAGAGAAAATCATGTTTAGTTGTAGAAAGAACAACATATATCAACCATCAATAAATTACTACAACAACATGTATCAACTATTTCCGCATTCTCTCAATGCAACTACAATATTTATCTTTCTAATGAACTTTATATTATTGACGTAACTGAAGTTATATACGGTGTTTAATTTGAAAACAAAGGCACGTGCTTCTGCACGTGCCACTCTTTACTAGTAAACTTAAAAAGTGTCGATATATTTCTTTTAGATTAATTACAAAAATTCTCCCTAAATTATACTTTTTGTAACACTTTACTCTTTAATTTTTAAAACGTAATATTCGTTCTCTTAAACAATAAAATACTAACAAAAAACCTCATTATTTAAGTTTTTAACTGAAATTGACATTTAATTTTCTATTTTGATAATTATATAGTTTAAAACTTAACTTAAATATTCAAACAAAAAACTTTGTAAATTTTTTCATTCTACAAAAAAAAAATCATTTAATTTGTAACTTACATTCAATTAATAATGGATATATAATAATTAAAAGTTTAAATTTAAATTAGTTTTAATTTTAAACTAAATTTTAAACCATTGAACTACCAAAATAACAAATTACATGTCAATTTCCCTTAAAAAGCCAGAATTGAAGGGTTTTTTTTATTAACATTTCATTGTTCAGGGGAAATAGATGTTACGTTTAAAAAATTATGAGGTAAAGTGTTATAAGGGGTATAGTTCAGGAAAATTTTTGTAATTAGTCCTTTATTTTTTGGCTATTTTGTATGAATACCCCTGAATTTTTTAAATTGAGCAATTTAGTCCCTAAAATTTTTTTTCCTGATAATCAACCCTCAGAACTTTTAATTTTTAGCACTTTTAGTTATTGTTGCTCAAATTTGTTAAAATTTTGATAGTTTTTCATGCCAAACTTACAAGTGACAGCCTAAAAAGTGCATTGATGATATTTTTATTTGATATTAATAAAATTTTATGTTAAAATTTAGATTAAAGTTTAAGTTATAATTAAATTAAGTTCAAGTTTTTAAATGTATTTGTATTGAAACTAAACAAAAATGAACATCACTGCCCTTATTAGACTATCATTTGCAAGTTAAGTGCAAAAAACTATCAAAATTTAATAAATTTGAGCAACAAGGGTTGAAAGTGCCAAAAACTATAAGTTCGGGGTGTTCATTGCCAGGGAAAAAAATTTAAGGACTAAATTGTCAAATTTAAAAAATTTAGGAAGTGTTTGTACAAAATACCCATTTTTAAAGGGCGTAAGTGTTATTTTCAACCAAAAAAAATAATCCAAAACCTCATTTGCTCCTAAAATTAGAACTTTTACTCTTCTTTTTCTTCTTTCTCCTCCTCTTTGTCCTCCACTTCCTTCTTTTTTCACAAAAGTGCTCTTGCTAAAATTTTTTATAAAGAGCTACTTTCATTTCTAAAACCTGATTCGAGTGAAATTTATTTCAAACTACAAATCAAACTATAATTACTGAAATAATAAGTCAATTGTGATAGCATCCATTGATGTTTAGTATATGCGTGAATTATTTTTAATGAATTGAGTACTGATTTGAAGTCTCGTGGATTGTAAAATTATTATAATTACTTAAATGATAATTAACTTCAAGTTATTAGAGAGTTTAGAGATGGTATTTGGATACATATTTACATATTATTATTTGGAAAATGATTACGCATGTTTATATCCCAATTCCCAAAATGTGAAATATTATTATTTTTAAAAAAAAGTTAAGTAGGATGTGATGAATTATTTTTGTAATTTCAGTTGGTCCTTATAAAATTTATTAGATTAATTCTATAAATGGTTTTCAAATTTTTCTCTCAATTTCACTTGAACCTCTGCCTTTTACAACATTCCCAACTTAACTTAATAATTAGTTTGTTTTAGTTTTAATCCTTTCAAAATTTAGTAGAATGTTATTTTATATTTTACGTTAAAACTACATGTTTTTTTTTTGTGTTCTATCAGCATAATGTTATTTTTTTCTCAGTAGTACTGTAATGTTTTCAATATCTAACTAATAAAAATGACTAAAATTGAAATAAACCAATAGATCAGAATTAAGTTTAACACATTTTAAAAGTTAAGAATTAATCCCACAAATATTTCCTAATTTACATAAATTAGAGTTATAGATTAATGACTAACTATAAGACGTTTTAAATGTCCCTTCTAATATAGAGAGTACCTCAAGTACCGTTTACGTGATTAACCATTTAGAACAAATATAAAATTAGCCCCCTTTTTTCTATTTGTAAAACTCATTAACCCAAATTTATTTTCTATTTGTAAAACTCATCATTGTAAAAAGAAAAAAAAATTATGATTCAAAATTATTTTTAATTTATATATATTTTTTTAAAAAAATATTATAACAAATTATGAATTAAGATTCAAATCATAAATCTCATACCAATCCCCCATTCAAGTTTTCAAAAAAAAAAAAATTTTAAAAAATAAAGAAGGCCCCATTTAAGTAAAACGACACGCAACGGCACCATCTAGATTAGTCACCAACCTGACCTCCAACCAAACTCGACCATTTTTCTTTTATTTTTCTCTTCTCCGTACCATTTCTATTCCCAGCTAAAACTCGTTCATTCCCAAAACCGATCTCCCCGGGGACGCCGTCGTTTCGCGACGCCGGTGGTATCCTCCGACGTCGTTTCCCACGATGAAGCGGAAGTCCAGATTCTCACTTCCCGTAAGCGTCGTCGTTTTGGTCATCGCCTACATATACTTCTCCACGCTTTTCGTCTTCGTCGACCGCTGGTTCGGCCTAACGACATCCCCAGGGATCATAAACGCCGTCGTTTTCACCGCCGTCGCCGCCATGTGCGTCTTCAGCTACACCGTTTCGCTATTCACGGATCCGGGTCGGGTCCCCTCCACTTACATGCCCGACATTGAGGATTCCCAAAACCCTATACACGAGATCAAGCGCAAGGTATTCGAACGCGCGCGCGCGCGTGCGCACACGCACACACACAACACACCCACACACCCACACACACACACACACATATATATATAAGGATTTGATATTTTTCCTGTTTTATTGCTTTTCTTTTGCTAAATTTAGGGGTTTCAGTTTTATGTTTGTTTGTTTAGTTCTTGTCAGGAGATCTATTCCATGAACTGGTGTTAATGTTGCTAGCTGATGTAGAAAAAATGGGAATTTGTTAAAAAAAACAGTTTTGATTTTGGTTGTTGTTTGGTGAAATCTCATAAGGGAGTTAGAATAATGGAAAGTTAAAAAAAACAGTTGAAATGAATTTGAGTGATTTGGATAAGTGGTCCTCCAATAAACGATTATAACAAAATTAATTGTATAGAAAAAAAGCATGATTTATCAAAAAATGGGAAATTTAGATCAATGTAAATAGCAGTAGACTGTGATATATATGCGTTTATACAAATATCTTATGAAGGGTGATTGTATAAGCAATCCAATTTTCAAACAAACTCATAATATTGGTAAGTGGTAATAAATTGGTGAATGCTGCTTTCACTGGCCTTGATTAGAAATAGGTAATAGAGGAAGGAGGGATAGGGGTGGGAGGATTAGTGGATGGAATTTAAGACCTATGGTTGTTTGGTAAGAGAGATTAGAGGAGGGAATGTATTTGATGAGGGATTCAAAATCTTCTGCTCGACTCCAATTTTGATGTTTTCGTAGTTTGAAGGATTGGAGTAGTTAATGTACACCAAACACAATGAGAGGAAAAGTTTTCCACTTTCTCACGGGAAGTGTTGTTCCAATTGCGACCGTCATTTTACTTTTCTTTTACGAGAGGTGTCGTTTTATGCGACCGCTCGTTTTATTTATTTTACTTGTATTTATCTCCTAACTTTCTTTTAATCTATTATTATTACTTTTTAACTATACTTTTACGTAATCACTAAGTGTATGCCCGTACACCTTTTAAGTAAGGGATTCTTTTATTTCACAAGGAAAGCCCGCCCTACAGATAGAAGTTGCTATCTCTACCGTCTATCTAATCCAAAGATAGTGTATATGACGTAGGTAGTCCATAGTTGTTAAGTGTTCAATCAAAAAAGGTGGTTGTTAAGTGTTGCTTCTCGCATATTTACAACCTCCAAGTTGTTTGATGCCATTTTTGGAGTCTTAAAATTTTGTTTTTATTTGAAATTCAGTTTCCAATTCAATAACTCAGACCCAAGGATGGTAATATTTTCAATAACTTTCGATCTCCTACAAGAATCTTAATCATTTACTTGGGGATTAGATCTTTTCAACAAGGTCGAGTAGCACAGTCCTTAAAGTCGTATCACGGTGTCCATTTTCTCCAAGTTACTCTATTCTCCAAATTGTACACATTTTCTTAATAAGAAAACTTCCATTATTAGATAATGATCAAATACACGGGTAAGAGGATAAGGTGTCTTCTAAAAAAAAAGGAACAAGAGCAGAAAGGAAAGCAACATCAAAGAACACTTCCCATCCAAGAGCGAAAATCTGAAACATGAAATTTAGTGACTGATCACATCTCTCTAATTAAGAACAATTAGTGAAAAAGGAAAATCTTTACTCTTTTCCGTGGAGACCGATAGAGATGCTGGCAATTTTGCCTTTTCGAACAAGACTGTCATGCCTATTCCCTTATTTTCAAATGTCCTTGTACTGCTTTTCATTTAAATCGTCCAGAACAAAGAGATTACCATACACCTCCATAATACTCTGCACATCTTAATTGTTTGCCATTTCAAGATCATATACATTATTGGCCAACTTATTTCTTCTTTCTTGCTGTGAAAAGACTCATTTTCGATATTTTGTAATTACACGATCTGGTAACTACTCAATATCTGTTTTTTTCTTTCTTGCCAGAGAAACTATAGATGCTGTAATGCACAAATTTATACTATAATAATTCGAGGGAACAAGCCTGAAAGAATCTATGTCTAGTCAAAACCGTCTTTTTCAAAATATAATAATAATAATAATAATAATAATAATAATAATAATAATAATAATGTACTTCTTATGGATTCATAGGATTCATCGTTTCTATTTTATATGGTATATCCTAGAGAATAAGAAAAACTGTCTTTTAGGTTGATATTGTCTTTCCTTTTTCTTGATATTCTGTTTTGGGATTGGGTCAGCTATGATATTATGTAGCTATGGTACCTTGCCCTTAGTTAAAGTATTTTATAATTTGATACTAAATCTGCAAATGGTATATGTGTTTCTAGGATAATTAATTTGGTATTAACTATATACTATTCCTGCAAAGCTTTTGTAAATTCTACCGGCTGAATTTGGTTCACTAGTTTTGTTGATTTTGGGACATGATTTGTGTACGGAATGTCTCTTTGCAGGGTGGTGACTTGAGGTATTGCCAGAAATGTTCTCACTATAAACCACCTCGTGCACATCATTGTCGTGTGTGCCAAAGATGTGTTTTGCGAATGGTATGCATTTATGTTTGTGTTTGTGTTTGTGCGTGTGCACATATTCACGTCTCCATAATGTCCTGGCTAATATGTTAAAAGTGCTGTCTTTTGATTGGAAGGACCATCATTGCATATGGATAAATAATTGTGTCGGCCATGCAAACTATAAGGTCTTCTTCGTCTTTCTTGTTTATGCTGTAATTGCTTGCATCTATTCCCTGGTATGTTCTGAAGTCTCTACATTTATCACAAAAGCTTTCTTCCTCGTATATTTGATTTCTTAAGTTCAGCCTCCTCCTCCTCTCTCTATCTCTCTCTCTCAGATAGCAAAAATTTAGATAACTTTTGTTTCTTTCCTGTATATTTTCATATATAATTGCATATATTTTGCTTTCGTGTTTTCAGGTGTTGCTCGTGGGTAGTCTTACTACGGATCCTCAAAATGATGAAGAGCAAAGTGTAGACTCTTTTAGAACAATATATGTAATGGCAAATTGCTATATGTTTTCTCGAGTTCAAACCTATTTTATTAGACATTTTGCTCATCATTTTATCTTTGCAGGTGATTTCTGGGATGTTGCTCATACTCTTAAGCGTGGCGCTGAGTGTTCTCTTAGGTTGGCATATCTACCTAGTTTTGGAAAACAAGACCACGATTGAGGTTACTAGGAATTAGCATTTTGATATCATTGTTCTGTTTAATGGCGAATCTGACATACCATTCAGAATATTAGTTTATCAGCTTTTTTCTCTACTTTTTGGCAGTATCATGAAGGAGTGAGAGCAATGTGGCTTGCGGAGAAAGGAGGACAAGTCTATTCACATCCTTATGATCTTGGTGCATATGAAAATCTAACGACGGTATTGTTCATTTTCCCCCTTTGCCCTGCTCATGTAATGAAGACATACTTTTTAATTACATGTGAGAAACTGTAACATCATAAATTTGGTTCACTTAAATTGAATATTTTGACAATTGAAATTTTAATAGCCCAAGGGGTTCATTGAGCAAAGCATTCCAGTTTGTTGCATCTGGGTGTCCAGGTTCCTTTGCGTCGCATCAAGGACATCAAGTTTGAGTCAGATTTTGCTAGATTTTTCTACTTACAGAGTTTTAGTAGTGTGTTCTCTGGCAGGAATTTTTTTCTTAGGACATAATTGTATCGTGCAGTTTGGCCTTCATCATTTGCCTGGATGAAGTTGATTGCAATGTGAGCCATAAACCCTTCTTTCTTCTGTTGGGGGAAGTTAGAGAGCTTCTGTTGGGGGAAGTTAGAGAGTTTATCGCCAGTTCACACTTATTTTCATTTTTATTTTTCTGAAGTCATTCCTAATGGTTCGAAAATGTGTGAATATTTGTGTTTGTGGTCTTCGATTATGCTTGTAGATCTTGTTTTATCTGATTCTCATGGCCTTGGATATCTATCTTGGATCACTTCAGGTACTGGGTCCAAGCATCTTCAGATGGATGTGCCTTGCATCGGGACATATTGGATCTGGCCTTCGTTTTCGTACTGTCTACGAGTATTCAGCTGCTGAATCGCTGCCAAAATGAAGTTCTTTCGTCTTTCTCGAGTTCGTGTTGGCGACCCCAATACTTTGAATCGTGGAGAGGTCGATGAGGCTGACCGTGCATGACAATGTCTTTGCAGTCCTTTTCAAAAGTCCGGGCACGTAGGCTTTGCTTTTTGAGTACGAGAGAAAAGAGCTCTCATCTGTTTCCTACGCAGGAAAATGGTCTATGATTTCATTGCTGCAATGCCATCTAAGGAATGGAATTCAGTTTGAGGTTGTCAAGGGCCGAAGCTAAAAATTGTCGAAAGAAACTTAATTTAGGATAGGTGAATTCTTTACAGAAGTTTTTTTTTTTTTTTTTCCGTAATTTTATTTTATTTTTTCTCATTTGCCCTCTTCTTTTGGCATTCACCATGGAAGAGTTTAATGGCGTGGCAAGTTTTGATAGGTTTATGTACAAAGAGGGAATCACCCTTGGAGCTCGACCAACACTAACGATAGTTGTTAATGTAAAGTAGATTTTCAAAGTTCTACAGGAGTGAACGTTCATGTGTAACTCTGAAGAGTTGTAAAACGCTAAAATCTAATATGTAACCTTTAAAGAGAAATATTAACTTGTAGTGCTTCATTTGTTTGTTAATTGTTCAAAACAGAGGCTTGGTGGGTCAACTTTCTCCGCGGCCGAATAGCCATTGAAATACCAATTGAAGCTAATCTAAATTAAATTGCCTTAAATTGCCTCAAAATCAAGAGAAAATTGTTGAATTTATATTTACAGTGCATGATTTTAAATTTTTATTCTTTAGTCTTGGTTAATATTAGACTAAAAATGATATTAATTAGGAGTAAGGATAAAAATCTAGACTTGTACATTTTAAAAATATTTGTCTATTTATTCTCTTAATTAATCTCAAGTGAAAGGCGGAAGCTAAAGGAAAAATGTTTGAGCAAAAGAGCAAAATATTTAGAAACTTTATTGAATCATCACAAATTAGCTTGCACAATTTGCACAAATTAGTATGCACGTATCAAAAATTTGTATTTAAACCTCCTTGTTTGTAGAAAACATCTTCCGGACTCAATGATACAAAGCTTTAACAGTTCCTAAGTGCCATGAATCACTCTAAATTCGTAGATTTAACTATGACCAACTTCTAGCGTATATTGCAAGGTTATTTGAATTGAATTTAATCTAGGTCATTCATAAGATTTGATATAGGATATGAAAAGATGTTATTAGTAGGGTACTAGGGTTTGTTTTAAATGGTCAAATATTTCATCAATTTTACTTACTTTTTCAACGTATTTTACACATTTACCCCTTAAATTTGTATGATTTTAACAATTTGCTCCATAAACTTTTAGTTTTAACAAGTTGCCTTTTCAATTTGTGCAATTGTTGCAATATGCCCCAATTTAATGATGATTGTGTTAAATTAGTGTCGGAAAAATACGTTAATAAAAAGTTCTAACATCTCAATTCAAATGTAACATAAATATTTCAACTCCACAACTTTTAATCCCTTAATTATAATAAAAAATTTGAGCAAATTTAATAAAATGGAGTATAATGTAACAATTTTACGAGTTTGAGGGGCTGATTGTCAAAATTAGATGTTTAAGGGGCCATTTATTAACTGCGCCTAAAACTCCATTTTTCATTTTGATTTAAATTTGGCTAAATTTAATGTTCATAGACATGTTATGCTAAGTGTCAATACCTTATGACACCTATTACACTAGGGTCCAGATTTATTATTCTTATTTTGTTGTTTTATTAGTTGTTCTTTTACTATTTCGTGTAAGGGACTGAAACTGTTAAAAACTGAAAGTTCAGTTATTAATATGTCAAAATTAAAAATTTAAAGACTAAAATGTAATTATGCTTAAAATTCATGGATCTATAGTGTTAATAACCCTTAAATTCAACAATATCACAAAATGAATTAGAACTAAAAAGAAAAAAATACATAAACAATTAATTAAGGTGTCAAGATCAACTAGAGAGACTAGGGCAATGAAATATACATAAAGGATATATGTGTAAGTTTACGATAGTCTATTTCGATTTCACGCGTGAATGGAATTGTGAGTGACTCCAATTCTAATTTTATAACTAAGTATAAACAACTTATTCTAACTCAAATTGCTTATTTTGATTGTCTGTGTCATTCCAAATGTTACTCGCCAATTTTTTGCTTCAAAAAATTTAACCTATTTTACTTATTTTACCTTTAGTTTTAATTTTAGATACAATAAAAGACCTATGATTTAGTTCGTTTATTCGGTTTTTTAATTCGAATTTAAATATGATTTTATATGAGAGTTTTTTTATTATAACAAAAAAAGTTAGATATAACTGTTTCTGAGAACTTTTTATTGTAATAAAATTCGAACTCTAAACTTGAATCAGTGAGATGAACGGGGCCTAAAAACCCTGAAATTCTCTCACCTTTCTCTTTGACAACACTCTCTCTCTCTCACACACGTTCTCTCTTCCCTCTCTCCCCCTCTTTCTCGATTTTCTCTCTTTCTTGCCTCGCTCGCTTCTCTCTCTCACTCATTTTGCTGGTGCTCTCTCTACCTTTGACGGTCTGCAACCCTTTATCGCTGGAGATTGTCGGCTAGAGCATAGGAATCGACGGCAGATCTTAAGAGGAGAAAGGAGGTCGAATAGAGAGAGAAAGGAGGTCGAATAGAGAGAGAAAGGATATTTTTGAATTTTTAAGGCCCCTTTAATTCGCTAATTTAAGTTTTTAATTAGAATTAGATGTAATTTTATATGAAAATTTTTTATTGTAATAAAAAAATTAAATATAATTATTTTTATGAATTTTTTATTATAATAAAATTCATAATTAAAATTTAATTCGGTAAAAATAAACGGGTTATATTTGTTTTCCAAATATAATCGTGCGAGTAAGGGCCCAGCAAAGAAAGGACACGCGCGCTACACCACGTGAAGGGAGAGTGTACTTGTATTAAATAAAAACTGACTCACGCTCTCTCTCGATCACTAATAATCACGCTTCGATCCAAACATAGATGCAAATTTGCAAAGTCGAACAACACCACAAATCTTCTCACGTGATGTACACGCGCCAAGACATCATGTAGAGTTGCGCTAAAGTATGTGTTTAGGATATCTTCGATTGCAGAAGCCCACTTCGTTCCCATAATCATCACCTTTGGTGGGCAGAAACTGATCAAGTCTCTCTCTCTCTCTCCTGTTCTGGGTGGAGATGGAAGAAAATAAACACAGCACATCTGAAATCAACAGGTTTGATTTATGGGTTTTCAGTTTATTCTCTTTTTGTTGTTGTGTTGTTTTGATTTATGGTTTTTAGTATGTTGTGTGTTCTTGGGTTTTATTGAATTTTGATTTCCAGCAAAAATGGGAAGTACTGTGTTTTAATGAAAACCTATAAAAAAAAAAAACTGGGTTTTGTTACTTGTTAATTTTGGAGAAATAGTAATAGAAGTTGAAATTGGTTTTTATTGGGTGATATATCAATTTGCACAATTTTAGTCTTTAATTATAAATACATTCAGAGTGTTTCAGATCTGCTGTGTGATAAGCATGCAACATTTTCATTAGAGAAGTTACTATTAGAAGACGATTGTTTTATATGTTTAATTAAACTCAAGTTTGAGGGCCAAAACTAAAAGTTGTGAGCATGTGATTGCCCAATTTGAGGTCTGAGGTGGGGGTTTTGGATCAAAAGGAAAGTATTATTCTGTTCTTGACAAATGTTTATGGGCCAAAAAAAAAAAAAAAACCAAAATACACCATTTATACCCAAATCATTTTTTTGGGTCATTACGTAATTTGAATCTTAATTTCATGTGGACAAAATAACCATGTTCTTTTTTCACCCTTGTACTTTCTGTGCTGTAATGGATTGCTCTGCCTTATATATTGGTGTTGTGTTCTTTCTAATGATGGATTGCATATGCAAGGAGTCTTATCTCCGAATCTTTTGATTCTAAAGCATTGCTAAGGCTTCGTTCATTCCACTCATTCGAGTTTTCAGTTTTAGATTTCTACAGTTAAAAATTCTCAAAAAATATCACATCTAACTTTTTCTGCTACAAGTAAAAAAATTCTAAAAAAATATCATATCTCAGCTCGAATTAAAAATTTATCCGTAAAGTGAATGAGGCCCAAGTCTTTGGCCTGTAATTTTTATTAAATAGTGCAAGGGATGCCATCTTTTTACTAATAAATGCAATCTTTTAGAATTAATTAATGTGGTAATTAAAAATAAAAAAAGGGACGAAACTTAAATGTCATGTGGGTTATTATCAAACAGTTGTGATTAGAGTTTGGGTCCCTAGTATTATTCACTTTTATTTGCTTAACAGTTATTTCTTCTTGAACTTCCTATACCAGCCTTCGAGTCATTAGTGTTAAAAAGACAATCAAGAAAAGAAAATTACTGGCCGAGCAATTGGGCTTGCCTATATTGAAGCATAAATGCAGGGATCAAGCCGTTAGTTCCGACGGACCCAACACCATCTTTTATGCAAGTAAGAGCATCGATCAACACACAACCAAGGGTAAAATGAAGGTACTAGCGATGGATGGTGGGTCAGAACTGGAGTCGATGAAAGATAGCAATAGTTACACTGAAGATTCGAACTCTTCAACATCTATATACGGTGAAGCCAAAATGGAAGCTGAGTATGCAACAACCCCTCACTACTCTTTGGTCAGTTGTGGAGCTGATATTTCTGAGAATACCAGATCTCAAGGGGACGGTTTAAATATGGCGAAAGCCAATTGTAGCGAAGAGGTTGAGTCACAAGCGTTTCTGAATCTCGAAGAGCAACTCCTAGAATTTGGAAATCATGAGAATTACATTGCCTCAGAATATGGAGCTGACAACCTTGAGCAATGGACAGATAAGGAACTTGAAGATATTCTGTATGCCAACGGATTGAACCCAAATGAGTATGTAATTTCATCTGGAAGGCGGACCGTAAATCAAGGTAATATAAGAGTTCATAACATTTTTTTTTTTTTTTTAACCTTCAAAAATCGATGGATGAAAATCTTTGTATCTTACATGTGTTAGCATTCTTAGACTTAGTTTGGGATTATTTTGCTCTTAACAGAGACACAACTTCTGCTTTAGTAAAATGAGAAAAATCTAGCTGAAAGTGCATTCGTATCTATGGAAAGTGCCTATACACGCTCGTTGTTTCAGTCATGTATAAAGTATTTTGAGGACGCCAAAAGTAATCCCGAACAGATCCTTAGACCATTTCCTTAATGAAATAACAGTAATACATTTCTTTGTTTATAATAACAGTAATACTGCTTGTTATTATTTTGATTGCAGAGGATCAATCAGGAAGTAGGAAACCAACCATCGATCAAGAGTTTGAGCAGTATTTTTCCATGCTTATGCTGTAAGGGTAATTGCTCTGCTATGAGCACATCCAAACGTGTATATCTTTTCGACGATTCCTGTCTGTAAAATACCTGAACAATGTAAAAAATGCTCTAGTAGCTCTTTGCTATGGTTAGTCCACATGATGTTCTGCAAGAGAGCGTGAGAAATATATGTATTTATCAAATATCCTATTCTGTCTTGCAGCTCATTTATAGGAATGCTCATCTCCTTAAAAGTAATTTGTAAAGGTCCAAAACCTGAACCACACGACTTACGTTGCACCGTTTTCTTATAGGAGTAATGATACGCGTCATGAATATTTTAAGTGTGTGTGTTAAAATTACGTGTCATGAATATTTTATGTGTTAAGTTCATAAAATAGCCCATGGTTTGTGATAAGATCTAAGGCAATTCTCAAGAAATGAGAAGAATTGAGAAGAGAAAGATGAATCTTTATTGAATGAAAGAATGAATTACAATGCAGTGATTCGAGGTACTGTTAACCTCCCCGTGCTCAGCCTAAGCCAAGACTTCCTCAAACTTCAGTATTTTTCCTCCTCTCCCTCAGTTCCCGAACCCCCCTTTTAATATCCCCTGCCTTCTCTAACTAATTCCCTCCCCAACTAAAGTCCACAGTAACTAACTAATAACATCCTTTCTAACAAACTACTAACTTCTCTAACCAATTAACAAGTTCCTATCATTACTCCCGTTCCAAACAAACACCTTGTCCTCAAGGTGTAAGTCAAGAAATTGCAGCCGAATGACTCCACTTCCTTCCCATATCGTTGAGCTTGAATCTTGGAACGTCAAATGGAGCATTGACTCTAGGAGGGTCAAGCTTAGCGGTGACGAAGGCTACAACAGAGAGGCTTGGAACCATGAACTCGGTAGCGATGATCCCAACAACAATGGGTCCTAAAGCAGTGAACTAGATAAACGTTGGGGTTTGAAGTTGCAAACCCACCAATTTCAAGTCTGCCATTTGCGAACTTCCTAATTTGAACTCCAGGCACACCAATTTATGCATACCTTGCCCCAAACTCGCTGAAATTTCGAGGGTGAACTCCAATTGTACCAAAATTAGCCTCAATCTTGCTGGAATTAGGAAGTCCAGCCCCAACCTTGCTAAAGTTGCCCTGTCCACATAGGCAGACCAAGAAACAGCCCTGATTTAATTCCCGATGCCGGCCCCAAACACGCTGGTGCTGGGAGGCCCATCCCCAATTGCGCAAAAATCGGCCCCAATTGCTCCAGAATCTGGACACCCAATCCAAATCCGGCCGGAATTTCGGAACCCAGCCCAACCCTTGTTGGAATTCGCCCTGAAAATCCCTGACCCAGTCCCAATAACGCTGGAAGACGAAGACCTAGTCAAAATTGCTCCAAAATCAGTCCTAACGACTCTTGAATTCAAAGACCCAGTCCTTAAATCCCGAGACGCAGTCTCCAAATTCCCGAAATCGGAACCTATCCCGCCGTAGTTGCTAACCCCAACCCTAATCACATGAAGATAGGAACCCATCGGACCGGAATCGTGAAACCCAGTTCCATAGACGCCCGATTCCGCCGTGACTCCGCAAGAATCTTCAAAATCGACACTGAAAACAGGTTGTGTCTCCTCCGTCGATGATTTCTGACGTTGCTCCGCCACGATTCCCCACTCAAATGCCGACGTTGGTTCCCTAACCTCCACCGTCGACGATTTCACTATCTCTGACGCTGCCAAGAATCACCTCTGTTCTTCCATCATCTTTCGAATCTGAGCAAAATTTTCCCTTACTTTTTTTCTAAATTCCCCAAGTCCCTTCATCATTGATTCGTGAGTTTCTCTGATTTCTTTCTTTAACTCATCCAACCTTTCGTCGAATTCCTCTTCAGCCATGCCCTGAAAAGTACCGATTGACTTAGATCTGAGCGATATCGCACCAGATCGCGAAAAATTGCTCGGAGTGCCGTCAGCCTCATGCGATTCTAGATCTCTTCACGTTTTCTCTAAGGTCGTTCGTCGGTTTTGATGTTCCAAATCTAGTTGCGACGAGCCACCGCTAGAAACATGAGGTTCTGAAATCATTCCTATGTTCTGTGGCCAAACCTCCATATTCGTTTCCAAAAGCAATCTTTGTGTTGGTCTGAAACGTTGAAGCAAATTCATCTTAAATGCACTCCAACAAACAAATGGTCGTCTTCTATCCTCCCACTGAAACCACTGAAAAGCTTTACCTTCCATGAACTCCTCAATGAACATCACTTTTTCTTGCTCTGAAAATCGATTTTTCAAGAAATATTCTTCTACTCTTGCTATCCACGCATCCGGATCTTCTCCAGAAAACATTGGCTTCTCTAATTGCTGCCAACGTCCTAATGTTCCCTCCATCTTCTCCGAATTTCGCCCAAGAAAGTGCTCTGATACCACTTGATAAGATCTAAGGCAATTCTCAAGAAATGAGAAGAATTGAGAAGAGAAAGATGAATCTTTATTGAATGAAAGAATGAATTACAAGGCAGTGATTTGAGGTACTGCTAACCTCCCCTTGCTCAGCCTAAGCCAAGACTTCCTCAAACTCCAGTATTTTTCCTCCTCTCCCTCAGTTTCCGAACCCCCCTTTTAATATCCCCTGCATTCTCTAACTAATTCCCTCCCCAACTAAAGTCCACAGTAACTTACTAATAACATCCTTTCTAACAAACTACTAACTTCTCTAACCAATTAACAAGTTCCTATCAGTTTGGTAGATATTGGGGCTCATGGATCCCGTTACACTTGGTGTAATGGACACCCGGGCCAAAGCTATGCAATGGCTAGGCTTGATAGGGGTTTGGCTGATGTTCAATGGCAATCTTCAGCCCCATCCACCATCCTCAAACTGCTCCCAGCTTCTTTCTCTGATAATTTCCGGTTGCTTTTACGTCTCGGTGGTGAACGTCTTGTTAGACCATTTAAATTTGAGGGTATGTGGGTGTGGGACCCTAGAAGTCACCTGGTTGTTCGAAAGGCATGAACATGTATTCTAACAATATGGCACTATGACATTTGGTGTGAAACGTGTGGAGCTTATGAATTGGAATAGCAAGCAGTTGGGGCGTGTCCAGATTGAGATTAAACAGCTTATAGAGAAACTCACAGCTATTCTGCAGGTAAGTCCCTCCCTGGAGCGCCTTGAAAGCGACGCACAGCCTTCTGGACAGCAATTGTGAAGGAATTTTCTTCCGGTATTTGCTGTGCTAAATTCTCACTTCACTGAGTAGAGTTACCTGTCCCATTTGCAATATGGAGAAGGAGCACAGCCTTCTGGACAGCAATTGTGAAGGAATTTTCTTCCGGTATTTGCTGTGCTAAATTCTCACTTCACTGAGTAGAGTTACCTGTCCCATTTGCAATATGGAGAAGGAATCTGCTTTTCATTTGTTTGTCTCGTGTCCTATGGTTTGACCCCCTTGGTTTCTTTCACCATGGGGGTTTTAGACCGAATGAGTTTGTAGGGCATGATTTTGCTGTTAGGCGATTTCACCTCGGTGGCAGGGGCTCATGATCGGCTGCTGTTTGCCTCTATTCTCATGGATAATCGTTGGCGTGCTCGAAATAAATGTGAGCCTGAGAGAGTGGGGATTGACTTGCTCCAAATCAAGGCCATAGTGCACTCCCGATACTGTGGGCTAGAAGCCACCTCATCCGGAGTGGACCAAGCTTAACTCGGACGTCCCAAAATTGTAGGAGCTATAGTCGTGCTGATCATACAGGGACTATTCTTTGGACATTTGCAGAGGAGCTGTCCCCACTCAAACCCGGCTGTGAGCGAGGCTTTGGCTGCTGGGAAGGCAATGTTGTTGGCTACGGAGTGTAATTCGACGGGGGTGAACGTTGAGGGTGATGCTGTGGTTGTGTACAAAGCCTCTGCTGATGGTGGTGCTGATATTTCTGAAATCAAATTGCTACTCAAAGACTGTTTGGAGATCATCCAAAGTTTTACTGGTTGGGAGATGATAATATTGCAAAGTAACTTGTCTTCTATCTTTGCCTATGGCTTTATTGCTGTCATTTTTTCTTGCCAATGCATTAAAGGAATAATGTGATTTGGGACACTCTATGGTGGTTGCTGTTTGTTTTCGTTTTGCCTTTCAATTTGTTGTGTTGTCTGTAATGTTTAGTGCCTTTGAATGACGTGTTTCTTTCAGCCAAAAAAAAAAAAAAAAAAAAAAAGCAAGTTCATAACAAAATGAAATTATTTTAAAAAAAAAAATTGTACACGCCTTTAACAAGTTATATGTTAGTTTATTGATGTGTCATGATTTTTTTTTTTTCAGAATGTATATTTTTGGCTTGGCGAAACTTTTCTTTTCATAAATGACTGCTCAAATTGTCCTGCGCTCGCCAATAATGTGATCTGTGATGTTCAATGTTTTTCGTCAAGATACACTGAAAATCCCTTCGAAGGAAAATGGAAAATGAAAAGCTCTATTGAAACAAGGGAAAGAAACAATACAAGAGTCTGTAATTTATCCACGCTTTAGTTGAATGGTCCGCTCAAGCAATTAAAGAATCCTCCTCCTAGCGCCTGGGAATGCCAATCATATGCCAGCAACCGAGTAGCATTAGTTATAGACAATAAACCAAAACTCGATGCAAATAGAGAAGGTAAGTTTGGTGAAATGTAAGACATGAAAGGGCACACTAGTAGTAACTTAGCAAGATAGGATTTCATTAAAATTAAGGATTATTATTACTTATGCATCAATTTGCTCGAAAACTCTCATTTTACCCTTTAAATTTTGAATTGTTTTCACTTAACCTCTTATGTTGTAATTTCAGTTTTAAAAAAAGAACAACGCAGTCACGTGGTATTTCTATTTGGATTTCTGTTAAAAAAATAAATAAAAACCACATGACCATACTTACCTCTCTCTTTTTCTGTCTGATTTTAACAGAAATTGCAATAAAATGGATTAAGTGAGCACAATTCAAAGTTTAAAGGGCAAAGTGAGAGTTTTTAAAATTTATGGGGATAAAATAAGAATGACTCTAAAGTTCAGAGGACACCAATAAAAATAATCATAAAATTAAATATGAAGTGGAGTTTTTAACATATATTGTTCTATACAATTGCTTGATCAAAAGCCAACTCCTAACTTGAATCCCATTTTGTTAGAATTTATCTTTTTGAAAATTTCGTCAAGTATATGATTATGCAATATAGATGCAAATAATCCCACATTGAATAGAAAAAGAGATATTCTTATCACTATCTCTATATAGAGTTAGCCCCAATTCAAAGTTGAGCAAGTCCTATGCAAAAATCTTTTGAAACCCATTTTTTTCTAGATAACAGCAAATATTGCTGCTTTAGTAACCCAATTTCAATACATAACTGTTGTTTTCCAAAATTAGCCAAATGGCAAAAAAGCACTCCTTCCAAGCTAGAGCGGCCATCAGACCCACTTCCTCTTCCAAACACGAATTCTCTATAAAAATTTATCAAAATTTCAATTGCTCGGCATAAATCATCCAAAAAAACTCCTCCATAATCCAAAATTGAGAAGAAAAAAAATTGAGAGAAAATAATTAAGGAAACGAAAAAAAAAGAAGAAAAAATTGAGAGAAAAGAATTAAGGAAACAAAAGAAGAAGAAGAAGCTAAAGAAGCTGGATGCAGAAGTGAAGTGAATAGGAAAGGATGAAATTGAAAGAACATAAGTAGAAGAATGAGACATTTGTGACAGAAGTGAAGTGAAAGTGAAGTGAATAAGAAAGGATGAAATTAAAAGAACATGAGTAAAAGAAGGAGACATTTGTGATATTAAAGATGATGGTAAAATTAAAAAATCTGGAATGACATATTAAAGTATCGGCCATATGCTAAATTTTTTAAAAACCTGGGGCCATATTTGGCTAGGGTGGCCTACCTGCTACCCAATTCAGTTTATCATTTTTTTATTGAACTATTCAACAATACGAATAATCCACTCATACTGATCTACATATTTATATCCTACTTTTTTCAAATATGATAATCATATAAGATAATTTAGACCTAAGTAAAAATTGTCTTACAGCCCGTTTGGTTGGAGGATTCGTTCTATGCTTCGAATCATGATTCATAGTTCGCTACAGTATTTTCTCTTACAAAAAACACACGTAAATAAAAAATTATTCTAATCTCATAGTTATAATTCATGAACCAAACGGACTTTTAGTGTAAATGGTAATGAGGGAGGAAACTTGCAATTGGTATTTGGTAGTAGTCTCTGAGGTTAAATAAATTAAAATATTGAAGATTAAGAAAATTTATGGATTTCTATAGGTTTTTCTTTTCTTTTCTAAATGAGGAACTAATGATTGGTTCTAGTACATGCGTACAGAAACAAAAATTACTTAAAAGTTGTACATTTTTTTTTCACTAATCTTACACAAAAAGTATTATAATGGTGACAGGGATATAGATGTAGTGGAAGCTTAATTAAAAAAATTAGAACAATAAAAATGAAAGGGATAGATCAATTAACATATTAAGTCACATAGAATGTCAAGAAAATTATTTCAAAATCCGCTATTTCACACAAAATATCAATGATTGACTTTAAAATTCATTGACTCACAAAGAATATTAAAATTTGAAAAAATGAAAAGTGTAAACACTCAAATTTCAAAATTCTCCCTCCTTACATGCCCCAAAGAGAAACTACTAATAAAAATAGGAAAATAAACGATTCCGAAAATTAAAAATAAATAAGGAAACAAACTTATATTTGACCCAGAATCAAATCAAAATGAAACGACTTTCTTAGACCAAATTATCACAAAAATGAAACTTTCCTAAATGTAAAAATAGTAATTTAGTTAATTGAAAACTTTTAAGAATAGAATTTAAATTTTCTTTCACAGTAATTGTCTTTGAGCCAAAAATATAATTCCGAATTGCCACGTGATTCTCTCCTAATGTGGGTTGCATTTTTCTCCCTCAGTTGGAATTCATTCTCGAATTCAGGGTAACTTCAAGCGATATGTGTAAAAGATAATTTGCTTCATGAATTGTGGATGGTCCATCTTTAAAGCAAATAAATTGTTAAACTCGCTAAATTGTAGATGGTCCATTAATTACTTTTAGATTATTGGGTGTTTGGGTGGTTCTTAGTCTAAATTATAGGGTGATTTGGTTTGCGGCCCTAAACTGCTTAAACCTCCTAATAATCCGTTAAAAGATACACATATATAAATTTTTATTTTTAAGTATCTTTTTTAATATTAATTTTTATTGGTCATGATAGAGGTTCTACGCTGAAAAAAAAAAATTTAACACATTTTTATTAGTTTGTATTAAATCTTTAAATGACAAACTTTAATACGTTTCTTGTTTTTGAATTATATTATAAACTCGAATCTTATCTTTATTTTTATTGATTAATTGTTTTACCATTTTGGTGAAATATTATTTTTTTGTTAAGGTATTGAATACCTTTTTATTCTTAAATTTAAATTGTTCAAATCGCTTATGACTAATTTAGTTTAGTTTAAAGGGAGAAAGAGGAAAATATGCCAAGACTTGAGATGAATTAAAATTAATAGGCCAATAGTTTACATAAGTTAATAAATAGGCCAAATTACTGTTTTCGTCCATAACTTGTCTAGTTATGAACCATAACTTGACAAGTTATTGTCCATAACTTGTCTGGCTATGAACCATAACTTGACAAGTTTGTCCATAACTTATATAGTTATGAGTCATAACTTGACAAGTTATGGCCTATTAATTTCTATAACTAAAAATTGACCTATATACTTTTTTAAGCTTTTCATATTGGCATATTTTCTACTATTTCTCTAGTTTAAATTTTGTCAAAAATATGAAACCGTCTAAAAGGAAAAGTTAACTTTCCTTTGGTTGGTGGTTTCTAAAAAAAAAAAAAATCACTCAAACAACTTACGAACACTCATAGTTAATAGACGAAGGATTAAGATATCGTTTATTTCATATACTCAAACTCAATTATTAATTTTGTTATAATGTAAAACTCTCACATAAAATTTAAATTTTAAGCATCAGAAATAAAAATTATAGGTTTGAGTATACCTCCCAAAAGGGCCCTAAATGTCAACATTTTTATTTTTCAAAATTAGTAAAAGACCTAAATGCCAACATTTTCAAAATGAGCAACCAAGTGTCACAAATCGAAAAGTTGGAGGACCTAAGGGGCAAATGCCCTTAAAGTTAAAACGTGAAAATTATAAAAATTATTCTCTCTACTCCGCCTCTCTTCCTATCTCCCTCAGTCCCTCTGCATTTCTCTTCAGCCTCCGCATCTCTTCCTCTTCCTTGTAATATTGAGTTCTAAACATTGTTATTATTATTATTATTTATTTTTTGGATATTCAGCGCTGTCCGTGTCCCTTGAAGAAAATGTCGTCGTTTCTGCAGTCGCTTATTGATCCGAAGAAGAATTGGTTCGCCCTCCAGCACATGAAAGTTCTCTCCAAACGCCTCCGCAACTACGGTCTCAAACCCTAATTCCTTCTCTCAATCCCCAGTTTCAATTCCTAACAAAGTTTGATTCTTTTTTTTTTTTCTGGATGTTGATGGTTTTGAGATTCGATCAAATTAGGGCTTCGATACGACGATCTCTACGACCCCTATTACGATTTGGACGTGAAGGAGGCTCTGAATCGGCTTCCGAGACAGATTGTGGACGCCCGCCATCAGCGTCTCAAGCGCGCCATGGACCTCTCCATGAAGCACCAGTACCTCCCCAACGATCTTCAGGTTTATTGCTTTTCAATTTCCACATTTCTAACCATTTTCTAATGCGTATTATCATTGTTGTTTTTGTTGTTAGTCCCTTGATTTTTTTAGTCTGTTTATCTATCGGATTTCGATTTCATGTCACTTGCTACAATGACAAACTTTAGGCAAATTTTTCTACAGTAACAAACTTTAGAAAGTGAAATTAGCAAAATGACATTCTTTCATTTTTATCCAATTACAGGTTTTGATTGAAAGAGTGCATTTTTAAGCTCACTTAAGCTAGCTAGAGTCTTGGAGATTTAGGGGAACCGCATCTATTAGTTATATGATAAGATTCTTAGGTCTTTCTATCTAATTCCGGATGAGAACGTAAGAGATATTGACAGAATCAATCTGAAATAGTATTGTTGAATCACGAAAGCTGATAGAAAATGGGTCGGGTGGTGTGCAGAGTGGGACTTTTGTGTGATATAGATTATAGTGAATATTTGGTGTTTGGTATTTTTGTTGATTATGGGTGATGTTGCAATGGGCTAGGTACTCTTAGTGGGCTAGGTGTAATAGTAGGAAGTAGACTAGATGCTGATTGGACAAGTTGGGTGAGGGCTTTTTTATATGTTCAAGATGGTAAGTGTGGTTTCTAGGAGGAAGGCTTTATATTACTTATCTTGGCAAACTTGTTTTAAACCTTTTTTTTATTTACTCAAATGTCTTTACATAGGCGTCATGGTCAGTAAACAGCTATAACGAGGATATTGTTTATGTTTTGTGGTTATAGTGATTTGTCTAGACCTTTCTCATATAACTGACTATTAACATGTGGTAAAAACTAGGCTTTTAGATTTATTACTATCTAGATCTGTCGACTGCTGGCTAGATTTTTTACCACAAGTTTTACCAATTTTTGTTTGTAGAAAACGAAAAAATCCAAAAAGTATCCCCTCAGTTTTGCCTAAATACAGCTTTTACTCTTGATTTTTTTAAAATCCAAAAAGTATTCCTGTGTTTTTCAACCCATACAAAAAGTATCCATTCTTTTAACTTTTTATGTTTAATTTTTTTAAAATGACCCAATTGTCCTTGAATATCATACATACTGTCTAACTTTGTGCTGGGCTATACCAACTTCCAAACACTCCTCTTAGATTTTTTTTTTTTTTGAAGTAAACCTCTTAGGAAATTTATAGCACCGATTTCAACATTTTTTTTCTTTTTTTCATTTTAATAAGAAAGTGATCATTTTTTTTTTTTTTTGAAAAAAGATGTAAATCTTTTTTTCTTGAAATTTAAATTAGCAAAACATGACAAATTTATTTACCAATTTGAGGTGAAAGTGTATTTTGTAATGCATAATAAACCCACTTGCTAGAATACAATAAATTCACATCTTTTTTTATTTTTATTTTTGAGATTTCAATTTTTTATTAAAATCGAAAAAAACTTGTTCAAATTAGTGTTGTAAATTTCTTAAGAGAGCCACTTAAAAAAAGAAAAAAGAAAAAAATTTAAGAGGTGTATTTAGAAGTTAGTATAGCCCAGTACAAATTAAAATCTTATATTATATGGGATATCCAAGGATAATTTGGTCATTTTAAAAAAACTAAATTAGAAAAGTTAAAAGAAGGGATATTTTTTGTCTGTTTTCAAAAACGCAGGGGATACTTTTTGGATTTCAAAAAAATTAGGGGTAAAAGTTGTATTTAGGCAAAGCTGAGGAGATACTTTTTGGATTTTCTCGTAGAAAACTCTAGTAGGAAGTACTGTGAGAAATTAGTGGTTGGGATTACTGTACTAATTTTTTTTTTCTTTTGTAGGAACTAGGAACAAATTTGAAAAAACAAATTTACTTTAATATGGATAAATTAGATAAACAATATTTATCCTTACAAGAAGAAAATTATAGCATAACATGGACAAATTAGAAGGAAAAATATTTTGATGATCCAGATTAAAAAAAAAAAGATATAAAATTTTAAGAAAAACCAAACACAATGCACCAAAGAAGCTACCGGAAAAGAAAATGGGAAATAGTAAAAAGTACAAAAAAAAGAAGTTAATCGGAAAAAGCAAGAAAAGGCAAAAAAGAAAACAGCAAAAAAAAAAAAAAAACGTTTCGCATCAAAGAAACTACACCACTCATTTTGTCCCTGGTAGTATGAAACGTTGAAGCCGCTTTTGTGGCTTTTATCTTTACATATATAAAAGCGCCGAAGTGCGCTTCCAATTTCGTCCAAGAGGCCGAAACGTTTTGTCCATGAGGGGATGTGGACGAAACGTTTCATCCTTTTTTTTATTTTGCCTTTTCCCCTTTCTTCCTATTATTTGTTTTTTGGTTCCTCTCTTATTTGCTTCTTTAGTCCCTAATTTTTGCTTTTTCTTTCCTCCTTATTTAATTTTATTATTATTTCTCTACATATATAAAAGCGCCGAAGGGCGCTTCCAATTTCGTCCAAGAGGGCAAAAAGTTTTGTCCATGAGGGGATGTGGACGAAACATTTCATCCCCCTTTTCTTTTTTCTTTTTTTTTTGCTTTTTCTTTCATTCTTTTTAATTTTATTATCATTTTAGTCCGTCACTTTTTTCTTTTCCTTCTTTTGTTTTTTTTTTTTTGAGTCTTTCCTTTTTAGGTCCCCTTCCTTTCTGATTTGCTTCTCTAGTAAAAAAATTTTGTTTTTCCTCTCACCTTTCCATACCTCTAAACTCAACCTCCGCATTGCTTCTTTCTATCAAAGATTGTTTCTTACTCCCACACATAAGTGCAGTAGCCTGAAGTTGACCTATGATCAGTCAAGGATCCTGCCTAATCAGCTTAAGAGAAAATCTCAATACTTTTATCATTATGACCCTTCTTGAATAACAGTCCCCTTCTTGGTGTCATTTGAGATATCTAAGAATTATGTACACAGCCTCAAGATGCTCTTTGGTTGGATTGTTCATGAACTGACTAACCACACTTACGGAGAACCAATATCAGGTCTAGTGTGGGACAAATAGATAAGTTTTCCCATGAGACGTTGATAGCGCCCTTTGTCGACTGGATCACTGTCCTCTTTTCTGCCAAGCTTGCTGGTTGGATCCATAGGAGTGTCTGCTGGTTTGTACCTAAGCATTCCGGTTTCTTTAAGTAAGTCTTTAAGTGTACTTACGTTGAGAACCTGAAATTCCTGTCTTGGTTCAAGCTATCTCCATGCTAAGGAAATATCTCATAGCTCTTAATCTTAAATTGCTTTGCGAGAATTGTCTTTAGCCCATCTCTTCTTCATTGTCACCCGTCAGGATGATGTCATCCATACATACTATGAGGATGGTTTGATTAGTGTTTGATGAACAAAGTATGATCGGACTGTCCTTGTGAGAACCTGTGCTTCTTAACTGCCTTTGTGAACCTGTCAAACCAAGCCCTCGGTGATTGTTAAAGGCCATATAATGACTTCCTTAGCTTATAGACTTCGCCGACATTCTTCTCATTCTTGAAACTAGGAGGAATCTCCATATAGACTTCATCTTCTAAATCACCATTAAGAAAGGCGTTCTTCACATCTAATTGATGAAGTGACCCGTCTAAATTTATAGCCAAGGACAAGAGAACTCGAATTGTGTTAAGTTTCACCAAAGGAGCAAAAGTTTCTTGGTTGTCCATACCATAGGCTTGTGTAATCCCCGTAGCAACCAAACGTGCTTTGTGATGATCAATGGTTCCATCTACTTTATACTTGACATTAAATATCGATTTGCATCCCACTGGTTGTTTGTCCTTTTGGTCTATTTGAAAGTTCCCATGTGCCATTCTTTTCTAGGGCTCGAATTTCTTCATCAATGCTTTCTTCCACTTGGGCTGAATTTTTGCTTCCTCATGTTATTTGGAATTTCAATACTAGACAGATTGGAAATGAAGGCACAATAGTTGGGAGATAATCTATCATATGGCACAAAATAAGAGATTGGGTGTTGTGTGCATGATCTCACACCTTTTCTCTGAGCAATAGGAATATCAAGGTCATTAGGCATTGGAGGAACTGAGCTAGAAAGGATATCAGTGTTACCTGGAGAGGTTGACTTTGAACTTGAACTCGGCTCAGGCTCATGGCTTTGCTCGAGAAGGATTGGATGCTCTTATCTCTTTTTGGGTTTTCAACCTCTGAGAGTACACTTGTAACTTTTTGTGCTCTACACCGGATTTGTGAATTGGGGTTTTGATTGGAGTTTTTGTATTTGGTAAGGCTTCGGGCTGAACTGTTTGAGTTATGTCAGGCTGAATTATTTGAGAAGGAGATGATGATGTGATTTCAGTGTGAATAGTAGTAGTGGACGGAGATTGATCAACATAAAGCCAAAACTGATATTCTTGTTGATTGATGGAATTCTTCCCCAGAATATGAGTTTTGGTGTATAAAGGTTAGTTTTCAAAAAGGTTACATCCATAGTGTTGTAGAATTTCTTCGTGACCGGAGAGTAACACTTATACCCTTTTTTATTAGATAAATATTCTAGGTACAAATATTTGACAACTTTGGGATCGAGTTTGCTTCTTAAATATGAAGGAACATGAACAAATGCTAAGCAACTGAACATTTTGAGGTGAAGAGAAAAGATCAACTGACTATTTGGAAAGGCTTGAGTGAGAGTTTGACTTGGTGTTTGGAATTTTAATACTCGAGATGGCATCCTATTTATGAGATATGTTGCTGTTAGCACATCTCCCCAGAAAGATTTTGGGACATTAGAGGTAAACATGATTGCATGAGCAACTTTGAGAAGGTGTTGATTTTTTCGCTCTGTAATTCCATTTTGTTGTGGAGTGCTTGTGCAAGAACTTGGGTGGACTATGCACTTATCCAATAAGTAATCTTCAAGAATTGGTGAACTTTGGCTTGGAATTGATTTTGAATCATGGAGTGAAAATTTTAAAGATAGGGCCTCCCTTTGATTTTTCTTTCATAAGAAATATCGATATTGTTCTTGTGTGATCGTCAACAAAGGATACAAACCATCTTTTCCCTATGAAGTATTGATATGGGATGGTCCCCAAATGTCACTGTGAATCACAGAAAAAGGATAAGATGCTTTATATTCATGAGCAGGATTAGAATTTCTCAGTTGTTTGGACAATTGGCAGATTTCACATTGATACAAACTCGGATTTTTATTCTTGAACAATGAAGGAAATAGTTATGACAAATAATGAAAGCTTGGATGGCCTAATCGAAAGTGCCATAACATAATTGCACTATCATTATTGGAATTAAGGATTGAAACATAAAAAATCCCTAGTGGATTGACTGACTATGGCTGGAATGGTTGGAACAGAGACACATCGAGCTTGTTTCTCAAGAAGGTTGTCAACCTTGAAGAGATAGAGCCACACACATTCCTCAGCATTGCCAATTGTCTTCCCCGAGTCCAAATCTTGGAATTGACAATTAGTAGGGAAAAATTTAGTAACACAGTTGAGATCCTTTGTTATTTTGTTATTGGACAATAGATTATAAGTCAAGTTTGGAACAAAAAGCACAGATTTTAGGACAAGATTTGGTGAGCTTGTTGTTGACCCTATACAAGCTACAACAGATAAGGATCCATCTGCAATACAAGCTGTGTTATTTATAAGGCATGGATGATAATATTGGAATAGGGAAGCATCACCAGTCGTATGATCGGAAGCGTTTGAGTCAATTATCCACACACTGGGTTTCTTGGTTGACACTTAATGCTCTTAAAAATTACCTTGTCGAGCTATTGACCTGGTACCAACAATTGTAGTGGAGGATCCTGGTTGGGTCTGGACTCTGGATGAACATTTTTTGAAGGAGGTCCAACTGCGCTTTGCTGAAGAGAGCAGTTTTAGTGGATGGTTGCTCATTTGTGGTCACATTTAGTCCGCTGCTCTTTCTGCCGATGAGTGGTTTCCAATCAGTGGGTTTGTCGTGTCTCTTTGGTGTGCCTGGGTCGTCTACAATGATCACACCAAGGCCTGCCCTTGCAGCTGCTGTCATTATTTCCCTGCTTGCTTGGTCCACGGGTCACCAGAGCCAAGCTTCCAGTTGTGGCAATAGCTCCTTGATTTGCCATCATAATTCTCTTCCGGCTTTCTTCTCGTTGGACTTTAGAGAAGGTTCGTCCCAAGTATCCTCCCCCTAACTTCATCAAGGTTTTTGTTTAACCCAAGCAATAACTTGAAGATTCTCTCCTTCTCTACAATTTTCCTATACTTAATTTTGTCACCTGGACAGTCCCAGACTATTTTCTCAAATAGGTCTAGTTGTTTCCAATACCAAGTGAGAGTATTGTAATATTGGGTGACAAAAAGATATCCTTGATGAAGGTCGTGAAAGAGTGCTCTTAATTCCAAACAACTCGACAGTATTTTCATTGTCAGAGTACGACTCCTTTACAGTGTCCCAAATCTCTTTTGTTGTGCCATAGAACGTAAAGTCTTGGCTGATGTTGTTGTCCATGGTACTGATTAACCAGGACAATGGACAGCACCACGTTGTTTTCGGAACCCAACACTTTGTACTTCAATCATCCTTTGGAGGTGCCGCACCCCCGGCGAGATTGCCATCCTTCCCTTTGCCGCTGATATACATCATACCGTACTGAGCCCATTGAATATGATTTTAGCCATTTAACTTGTGTCCGGTGATTGGAAGAACTGCACTTTTTGATCCACCATGGCTGCTGTGAGTGACAATTTCTGGGCCTGAGGAGGCGTTTGACGTGCTGTTCTTATCAGTGGCCACTCCATCTTTGACCATTAGAAAAGAGGAAGAATTATGTTACCATGAAGTTTTTGGAAGAAAAAAATATTCTTCTATGATTAATTAACACTAGGAGCATATACAAGATAAATAGGCAAGGCAACCATCACGGTAATAACCTCCCTTTATTCTAGGACAAAGAAAAAAAAAAGGAAAAACATGATATTAGTCTAATCAAATCACTCCTAGAAATCAGAAACTAATTTGCAAGAAGGGAAAGAATAAAATACAGCTAATCTACAAAAGTCAATCCAAGATTTACTCTGATTTGTCTTGGGTTTGTTTGGTATGAGGATTCAAACCAGAGTGATTCTAATTATGATTCTGGAACCAGAACCATGATTCACAATTTTGGGTTCAAATCATGATTCTAAAACCATGATTCAGAATCAAGGGTTTGAATTACCTTGAATCAAGAGGGAGAGTGGTTTTAGAATAATGAGTGATTCTGGTTTAAAACATCACATCAGATTCCGAATCATGATTCAAAATCATCTAAACCAAACATTGGTTCAGAATCACTATAAACAAACACTGATTCTGAATTAGGATCCAGAATCATAATTTTGGATCCATCTACCAAACGAACCCTTAGTGATTAGGTAATCAACTTCGGATTCCCATAGTACACAATCTCGATATCAGGACATTGTTTTATTTTATATGTTTGGCACTGACTCGCATAACTTAGGTCTTGAAATTGGGTGATTCAAGTTTGCACATAAGTTACATGCTTTCTTACCTAAAGTTTGTATCTAGCTATGATACAATGAACATGGTGTGTAATCAGCGTTTATCATTTCTTTTTCCTGTCTTCATTTCTTTTGTGGGGCAAAGTGACTTGGAATGACTAGTCCATCCTAACAAACACAGTTTCCTCCTAAACAATGTTGCGGATCTTAATGTTGTCCTTTTTGCTTTTATTCTCATCGATGTATTTTATTTATTTTCAGGCAATGCAAACACCATTCAGGAGCTACCTTCAAGAAATGCTGGCTTTGGTAAATACTACTACTGCCCATATAAGAATAGAATTTGCTGTCGTGCTTAACATCTTGCATTGAAAGCTCTGCTTATAAGTATCGGTATTTTCACCTTGGTTTCAACATTTGGAATCTCTTAGGGCTCGTTTGGTTTGTGCGTTCAAACCAATGATTCTTGATTCTGGTATTTGAAATTCAAATTTTTTGTGAGAGGAAAACACTAACAGAATCAAAACCATGAGTTTAAACGCATAAAACAAACGGCATTTACTCTTCTTCTTTCCTATATGACTGCTTTCTTTCTGTGGAAAATAGAATGTGCAGGTTGTAAGATGAACGCTTTGTAGAAAACAGGAGTAGGTTTAATAGAATAATGTAGCTGTTGCTTTGTCCAGTGAGAACTATCTATCTGAAAAACAATTGCTATGATCATCTTATCATGGTTAGAACATATGCACATTATGAACAGTGGACGTTGAAGTAGAACTATTAGCTGCATTTGTGGTCGAGCGAGAAAACAATCATAAAACTACTATTATGATTGTCTTACCGTAAACAAAACAATATGTTGCGGTATTAACTAGATGGATGTTGAAGTAGATATATAACTATGAGCTGCGTTTTGTTCAAGCGAGAAATATGTATAGAAAACTACTGCTATGGCTGTTTTAACGTGAATAGAACAGGATGCTGTAGCTCAAACAGTGGATATTGAAGTTAATTATAATCTGATGAATGTCTATTAGTAGGGGCTATCAGACTTGTTAGTTTGTATTGGATCTGTGCTTGAAAAATAAAAACTGTTGCTTTTCTTTTGCAGGTGAAGAGGGAGAGAGCCGAACGCGAGGCTTTGGGAGCATTGCCACTCTACCAGCGCAGCATTCCTTGAGCATCTTATTTCATATTGCAACTACTGTCAACTAGAGTGGATCTCTGAACATTCGTTGCATTTGCATTTGTGATGGATATTTCAATCCAAGAAGTGGAGAAAGATTCTCTTCTAGAGGTTGTTTACGTATTATTTGTCATTCGGTGTCTGAAAGTAATTTTCTGGATGGATGGCAGATACCGGTTGCCCTTAATCATGATAATAATGAAGGAACCAACTTTTCAGTTCATATGTTTTCCTTAAGTATTTTCATTAATTTACAGCCATTGAGTATTGATGCGTAATATTTTTATAGATTTAATTCCGCAAACGTACGGTGTCAAGTTTTGAGTATAGGGTGAGTGAGTATCGTTTCCACAGGGATTGGGTTTAGAATTGCCGTTAAGTATTGCGATTATTGTAACTTAACTTTATCTAGACAACTTAATAAGATGATAATTAAGAACAAAAACAAAATAAATATAAAATTAAAATTAAAGTATCTATACACAAATGGTCTAGGGACTTGATTTCGCTTGCTTATTCCTATGTTCATCTTATTATGTAATCGCTAATTAATTTTGTTTAATTCATTAATCAAGACTCTAATGTCACCTCGCAACCTCTCTCGAGTGCCTCACAAGGTATTATATTTAAATACCCAAAACAATATCCTTATTCAAAATGAATATTTAAATACAAATTAAGCTTCGCCTTTAGAATTAGAAAGTAGGAATATTGATCGTCTCTCGGCCTCACAACGACTTAAATCTTAATTTGATTATCTAACCGTTGATCTCCTCTCGGTCTCACAACAACCTAGGCTATGTTTTTTAAATCTAGATAAAGAACTCAATCTCTCCCGAGCATCAAATTCGCAATCTAAAAATCATCTAACTCATTGACCAAATAAATTAGATGCATTAAGCATAGAGAAACATAAATGAATTGAAAACGAAATTAAATTAACAATTAACAAATATTCAAAACATAGTTCAAATAAAACTATATCAAGTCCTAGATATAATGTCTAGCTCAACATGGAAAAATAGATGAAAGAAGATAAAACTCAATATCCATTGAAGAGCTTCCAATGACCTCCAAGATGAAGGATTTCGGCCTCCTTTTGATGTTTTCTTCAGTTTTCCGGGGCTCCTCTTCTCAAGTGGCATATCTTTCATTTTATACTACTCACTTTCGGAGCTAGGGTTTCATACGCGCGTTGCAGCCTGCGTGAAAATGCGCTGCAGCGCTCGTTTTTGGAAGAAGGATCGCGATGCTATGGGCTGAGGCGCGCTGCAGCGCGCGGGTCTACTTCTGGGCGCGCGCCTGGGCGTGGGGCGCGCGCCTGGATGTGGGGCGCGGGCGCGCAGGGGGCCAGGGTGCAGGCGCGCGCCCCATTCTAACTTGGCTTTCCTTTGCGCGCTGTAGCCCGCTTTCTTGCATTCCAAAGCCTCCTCTTTTGTGCCTTAAAATCCTCTTTCGCCTCCTATTGCCATTGATTCACAAGTTGGGTAAATATTCTTCTTTTCTTCATGCAAAATCATCTAAGTTCGGATTTATTTCTAATTCCTATAAAAAGCATACAAAAGACATTAAACTAACAATAATGCTTGAAAACTTATAAATATTCAAACTTAAAAGTACTTGATTTGTTGGTAGAAATACATGTCATCAAGTATTTTGAATATTCCTTTATTTATCAGAGCTCTTTATTGTTGATATCCTTAGTCGTTAAACTTTCCTTTGAATTTTTTTGCACTTTGGTATCTTCATCCTATTAACTTGTTTTTAACAAGTAGTCTTTAATTTTTTAATTTCTTTTTTTTTTAAGCAGTAGCAATTGCCAATTGATTCCTAGTATAATTTTTCAACATTTGTATCATCGCAACTCTTTACACTTCCAATCCATTGACCACTTGGCAAGAGCTTGAGGTACAAGTTTACATGCGCAATAAATGATTTAGGGTTCGTTTCGTTTACGCATTTAAAAATATAATTGTAATTCTGTTATAGTATTTTTCTCTCATAAAAAAGTTTCCGCTAATAAGTTCTCTCAAAAAATTTGAATTCAGAATCAAAATCATAGACTTAAATGCGTAAAGTAAATATCTCATTTTTCTAAACAGCACAAAATATATTGCCTAAACAAATAACTTTATTTGTCTGTCACGTCATAATTCATATGGTGCTTACACAAGAAAATATGCTAAAGAACTCTTTTTTTTTTTATCTACCAAAAAAAATTAGCGTTCTTTAGCATATTTTCTATATTAAATAAGTGGTTTTTTTTTTTTTGAATGCTGCTTGTACCATTAGATGAGCAATTGTAAATGGCCGTGGAAGGCCATTGATAGTATATGCATCGAAAATGTCATTTTAACCTATTTTATTCAAAACTTTTCTTCATAATAAATTCTCAAAAAGTTGTTTTGCATGACTTTTCTCTCATCAAGTATGATACTAATAATCGTTTAGAATCAATTGATGATTTGCGTGATTTATGAATACCTGTTGAGACCCTCAAAAAGAAAAGAAAAAAAAAAAAAAAGGCCTGGTGAGGATTGCCTTAAAGAGCAAGCTTACACGCTGAAATGGAACGTGTCCATTCAAGTTTGAATTGTTTTACAATTGAGACAAGCGAACAAACCAACCAAAACTCCTGAAAAACCATCATCAGATCAAACTCATAACTATCTTTTATTTACAATAGTTATGAATCTTTCTCATGATTCATTATATAAATATGACAACTATCGATTAAAAAAACGGAATGAAGAGGGAAAAAAACAAGACAACTCAACGAGAACACGTGGCCAATATCCGGACCATTATTGGTCAGTCAAACTCAACATTTCGGAAGATCCGACGGTGGTGGCGGCAACTTTTGATTTGGTTGGGGCCCGTCCAAGACGATCCATGCCATCCTCAGCCCCCAGCTAGTGTGGACATCTAAGTGGCAGTGCATAAACCAAACTCCTGTGTACATTTTGAACACAAAAATTTGTGAATATTTATTTGTCAATGATAAACAAATGCTTATGCAATTATTATATTCATCGGAGCGACATTAATTTTAAAATGAACAGAATAGTAGCGATACTTGAAACAATGCATGTTCCAAATCAAATACACAAATATACGAGGAAGTGATGAAAATTTAACAGTTTCAAAAATTCACTAAACAAGCAGATATTTTTCATCATTACCACAAAACTTGCGTGTGCATAATCTATATAGGACTCGTAAAAATTATACCTATGTAAACCGATAGATATTCATCAAACACATGATACCTGGGTTGTCTGCAAAGAAGCGGATAGCGAGCCACCCACCGCTGGGCACACCTGCAGTGTTCCCCTCCAGCGGGTCAACCAGATTAAACTTGGCCGGGTCCTTGTTCGGATCGTAGTTCCCAAATCCTTGCCCAACAACAAAGAAATTAAAACCATGAAGGTGAAGAGGATGGCTCTCAGCACCAAGAATGCTCGTGTCCTGCAACACCAACTCCACACTGGCGTTGAACGGCAGCACCACCCCGCGCGTGCCGTTCGTCACCATTGTGTTGTTCGGTGGTGTCCCCGTGTAGTTGAAAGGAGTTTTAGGCGTCACGGGAAAATCTGTGGTGTAGACCCCATTGGATTGTCCAAAAAAGTAGGCTTGAAGGAGAGCCACACTTGGTAGCACAAACGAGACGTTATTGATTGAGGCGGTAAATTTTTGGCCATTTGGTCCTTGGCACGTCGTGTTTTTCGGGCACGGGTTGGTGCCAAGGCCTACAGTAAAGAAAAACTTCTTATCCACTCTTTGTGGGACATTGGCGGGGAATTTCTTGCTAGCCAAGCTACGTAGGCTACTAGTGAAATTGGCGACAAATTGAGTGACATTGACGAATTTTGTGGCGTTGAAGGGAGGGAGAGATGGTTTGTGGAGGGTGAGATTTTTAATGTGCGACGGTGGTGGCTCATATTCGAGGATACCGGAGGTGGTGGTGTTGTCGACCGTGCCACTACCCGTGAAGTAGGGGCTGGCGGCAATGAGGAATGTGGAGTTGGGGTAGTGGGGCTTTGTCCTTAAAAGGACATTGTAAGTTTGGCCAGGGGTTATGACGAGTGTGGTGGTGGTGAAGGGCTTGGTGTAGGTGGCGTCGGCTTCGACGATGGTGAGCGTGTGGTTGGCAATGCTAAAGAAGAGCTCATCGTTGAGTGCAGCGTTGATAAGCCGGAGGAGGTATGTCTTCCCAGGTTTCACCCTTAGCTTAAATGTATCTACCAAAAAACAAAATTTTCTTTTAGAAAAACAAACAAAATTTAGGTGGGTAAATTTCAAGCATTTGTCATGTGGCAAGAGTTAAAGATGCAAATGCACTATTCTAGATAATTCTTATCATCTACATTAATACTTGTTTTCAATTACACGTAACTCAAATAAATTTTGCGGTGATTGAGATCTGAGGGAAATGATACAAATCGTTTCCCACATCAGATTGTTATGTGGGCCGTTATTTGTCACTCAAATATATTACGGCTCTGCATAATACTATCATTATCAAATCCAACCATGCTATTGAAGCTAAAAGGATTACATAAGGCTGTAAAAGCTATAGCTTATTTTAGATACTGCTACTCCTGTCCCACAACTGACAATGAGAGTTGGAGCTGTTATAAGAAATTCCACTAGATTTATTATGGCAGCTTCAATTAAAAAGTTGGTGCTTTCACTGTTTGTGAAGTTGAAGGTAAAGCCTTACTTTAAGTTTAGTTTGGGCTAGGGAGGTAGACATTTGGTTCATATATTTAGATTCATGATTCAGAATCATTTTTACTTTATGTGTGTTTTTTGTGAGAGAAAATACTGTAGTGAGTCACGAACCATAATTCGAACCATGACACGAATCCTTATACAATGGCACAAATCTTCATACCATGGCACGAATCCTCATACCAAACATCTTAATCTCCATGAAACGGAACCTGATGCACTAATTGAAGACTAATACTTTTTATTGTAATGAGTTTGATGTTTTATAGTTAGATATATTTAGTTTATTATTATTATTTTTTCTATGGGTGAAGATAAACCATATTTTTGGGAGAAAGATGGAAATAGGCCAAGATTTGAGATGAATTAAAATTAATAGGCTAATAGTTTACATAAGTTAATAAATATGCCAAATTATTGTTTTTGTATGAACCACAACTTGACAAGTTATTGTCCATAATTCACGGTTTTTGTCCATAACTTGACTGACTATGCACCATAACTTAACAAGTCTATCCATAACTTATCTGATTATGAACCATAACTTGACAAGTTATTGTCCATAATTCACGGTTTTTGTCCATCACTTGTCTGACTATGAACCATAACTTAGCAAGTTTATCCATAACTTATCTGATTATGAACCATAACTTGACAAGTTATGAACCATAACTTAACAAGTTATGGCCTAGTAATTTTTATAACTAAAAATTGGCATATATACTTTTTTAAGCTTTTCATATTAATCTATTTTCTACTATTTTCGCATATTTTTTGGGAGGCAAATAATGCGGCCCATTGTTTTGGCTTCTTTGACTCTTAATGTAGATAATGAGCTCATTTAGTTGGAGTAATTTTCTCTACCTATAAAAAATGTTATTGTACTTGATTACATTAATGAGCTTGTTATTTTTTTTTTTCATTTATTTATTGCATTGTTGATATAATTACAAATAATGCTGTTTTTTATCACTTCAATGAAAACAAATAAATAAATAAATTATGCTGCTTGTACCATTAGATGAGCAATTGTACAATGGTCCTGGAAGGCCGTTGATGGTAAATGCATCAGAAACGTTGGGTCCTGCACCCGTCTGAAGTGCTTGGTTAATCACAGCTTCTGGGTCTGCGTTAAACCACTCTCCTGCAATATCCCAAAATGCATATGAAAAAACTAGCACCAATATTAGTCTTTTTCTTACAACATTTTCTAAATTGTTCAAATATGCCTCTATATACACATTGGTGTTAAACTTTCTAATTTGAGTGTTATGTTGAATAAATATCATATTACGCCGTTTATTTTAATACTTTTATATGATACGATAGAATTATAAAAAAGTATAATCTTTTAGAGAGAACTGTAACTAGATAGATAAGGGCAATACGAATACTTGCCGAAAATAATATGCACTTCTTTGTAAGGCTTGACAAAGGGGTAAGATTCATTGCGCTTGGGGAGGATGATAATGGGGCCATAAACGGTAGATCTTAGCCATGAGATGTGAGCGTGCCATAAAAGAGTTCCTCTCTGGCCAGTGATGGTGAAATTGTATACATATGACTGTCCTGTCTGTATGGGACACTGCGTGACGTATGCCGGCCCATCGGCCCAAGCACTTCCCAGCTGCCGAATTCCATGCCTGCTCTCTCTCGTGAACAATACATGATTAATTATGTTTAAACAACAACAAAAGAGTATTTATCAAGAGTAAAGAGTAAAAGTCTAGACTTATACACTCTCAAAGAAAAATTTTCTATTTTTTCATAGTTTTTTTCTTTTTCAAACGACGTCTGTTAATCTTGAAAGTCGAGAGAGATATTTTGGAGAAAACGCTTCGATGTGGTAGAAAATCATACCAGTGAATGGTGATATTGTTTGAAACGTGATTAACCACCCTCACAAGAACTCGATCACCTTCTCTTGCCACCAACGCAGGACCTGGGAATTTCTTGTTCACACTTATAAGGCTCTTCGTGTGGCACAATCTTGTCACATTGTGGTACTCAATCTAATAACATAGCCCAAAATACATTATCAGTTAGCTATAAAAAAAAAATAAAAAATAATAAAAAAAGCTAGTAATAATATCTAAATCAGCAGGTCAACTAGTAGAAATCATTTACATTGAAAGTGTAGTGCCTTGTTCTGCATGCCACAAAGTCTGCCATCATAAGTAGTGCACAAAAGCCAAAGAGCATAGAAGCAAATGAAGAAAAAAGAAGAAAAGAACCCATCTCTCTCTCTCTCTCTCTGTGTTTTAGTGCATGCAATTAGTGTAGCTATGAGAAGTCAAGAAGATGCCTTAATATAAGGAGCTCATTAGGTGAAAGAGAAAAGTATCTTCCTAGAGAAACATATGGAATTTTAGTGGAATTTCTTGTGATATTTCATTGTATAATTATTAGTCACCTTGTTAAATCCGCTTCTCTGCTGGTCATGCTGAATTTTAGAGTGTCCACAAAGTAATATAATTTTTTGTTCCCAAATGGTTATTTAGCAAAAATTGAACTAATTTGATCGTTATCACAATGACCCCTGTTTTGCTTAGTGGGGGGAAAGTTAATCACCTATTTGCCAAGTACTCTTATTCTGTAGTTAAAGAGTCAATTAATCAGGTACCTGTTTGCTTAGAGTAATCCTTACAGACATGTTGATCATGATCATCAACAAACTTAAATTGGTTAATCGGCGTCGTTTAATTAATGTGTTCATTCCCACTACTTAGAATTCACATAAGCCACAAACAACTAATTATCCCTACTTAATTTTCAGTTACAAAACCACCAAAATGTCACATATATTATGTGTGTGTATATATATAATTATATATTATATATCTCTTCTTCTTTTTTTTCCTCCATTTTTCTTATTTGTTATTTTATCTAAAAGAAAGTTGGCAACCAATCAATCAAAGACAAAAGTAGCTAGCTGGACAAGGAACTATGGACTAGAAACTGACGTCAAGCAACTTCAAGAAACAAAAATCATGTTGGATAAATATGTGTTAGAAACAAAAATTAATAATATTGGATTTTTTTTTTTTTTTTTTTGGTTAAAGTTGGTGGCTATGAGCAAATTCAAACACAAAAGATCATTATCCCAAGAAAAAGTTTTTCTTTTTTTTCCTCTTCTTTTTTGGGAACCCAATTATATAAATTAAGTTGAAAATTAAAATAATCGCCACAAGATCAAGTGACATAAACCTCTTCTGATGTTTGTATGATGTGGGTTTCTTTTATGCTTGGGCTGTTTGTAGAGCTCCGAGCTTGTGTGTTGTTTAATGAAGTTCCTTTTAAAAGAAAATGAATAAGCATATGAACTACTTGCGATTTCTTTTTATTGCGATTTAAATCTGGGTGTCTATCAACCTTTGTCTAATTTGTATGAGGATTAATCTTGTATGTGCATATAGTTAAACCTGATTAGAGAAAATGAGATAAATAACTCTTTAAATAGTACTTTTTTTATGTTTGGCCTACAAACGTTGGTTCTTTGATTTTAAATCAAATCACCATATTAGTCAGAAAAATTTAGTAAGTTCAATAATTTTCTCAATTAATTATGATGCAGCTGTCAGATCTCACTTAACATAACAAAGAATTCTAAAGATAACTTTAGGAAAACCAATATTGTTATACCGACACTTTTAACTAAATAAAAGTCTTTGACTATTAGAACACTGCAGTATTGATGATAGGAGGAGAAAAGAACAAAAGGAGAAACAAGCCGTACTAACATTGTTAAGTCAATCCATTAAAAAAAAAAAGAAACATTTAAATGATAAATGTTTATAAGCTTCTTCAAGCGAAAGAATGAAAATTATTATTGAATTCGGACTTGTAAAATGTAAATCTAAACTGGTTGTTAGATTTAACTACGAATGGCCAAAAAACAAAAAACAAAAAACAAAAAACAAAAAAAAAAACAAAAGGATGAGTTGGATTGGAAAAGAAGGTATCCATAAGTAAATTAGGTGGTACTTTAAAAACATCATAAAATGGTTAATGCTTTGAAAATTTAAAACCACATTCGTTTCTCATATTCACAATCAAAATGCACAATTAGGATGTTTACGTAAATTTTACGAATATTTCAATAGTTTCTTTAGGATAGTTATCTTACCAATACAATTGTATATTTGAAAACTATTAAAAAAAAAATCCTCCAATTAAAAATTAGGACAACCAAGCACTAGATTTGCCTATCCTGGCGTACAATAGGCCCAAAGAATGGAAGAATTGGTGAAAAAATGAGTAACTTTGACAAATACTTTTTAAAAGTGTATAGATCAAGATTTTTATTATTTTTTCTTAATTTATAATCTTTTTAGTTAAATAATTACACTAATAAAAAACTATTTATTAAGAATAAGAGATAAAAGTCCAGACTCATATACTCTTAAGGGTAAATTCTCTATTTTTTTTAAAGAAAAAGAGAAGAAGAATGAAATTTGAAACCAATAGTTATTTATACACGGAATAAATTTTAAATTTGAGGTTTTTTTGTGTGTGTGTGTAATTTCTAGATCCACGAGTGTCCATAGATAGGCTACAAGTAAAGTTTTTCATAACTACCTATTTCTTTACCTTAGAAGTTTTTATTGTAACGAATGGTTAGCGGTAAATTCACACCTGACTTCACCACCACGAGTTCATATTCAACTGACATGTCTACAAGTATAACTTACATATAAGAATTTCTATACCATGATCAAAGGTTGCGTTAAAACTAATGAACTATAAAACTCAAGTTGTTAGAAGTGCCAAAGTAGTTACATGGACTTGCTCAAAAAAAAAAAAAAAAAAAAAAAAAAGTAGTTAGACATACAATTACTTTCCGTAATTTGAAGGTCGTTTCTACTACTGGCCCAGGAAGAAAATAGCCCAAATAAATAAATAAAAATTGGTAGTTCCAACTTCCCTTTATTTGAAATCTTTGTTCCCTAACTGGCCCTCCCATCCAACGATTTTGTCTTGAAAACTAAGGCACAGTGTCGTTTCTGCTTATTTCGCCACTTAACAAGATTTCACTTAACCAACAACTATAATATGCTAATTAAGTTAGGTCCTTGTCCAGGATCTACTGACTCTAAATCATCCACGTTGCTGTCTATCAAAACATGGAGATTCTGAGCCATCCAAATAGGAAAAAAATTTCAACTTTTTATCCAATCATAAGATGGTGTAAAACATAATTGAACTAAGATTTGCAGGGTACTTAACATCTAATCCCGCGAGATTAGGCATAATAGCGAGATTAAACATAAATGACCTCATGTTCGTTGCACATAATTTGGTCATGCCCATTCGTTGGCAGAGAGCAACGTTCCATCAGATCTCATGATATATGGCGAAGATGTCAAATATCTATCTGCCCCTTAAGGGATAAAATGCAGACTTCTTTTGCATGATATTAAAGGTTTCAGTTCAGTTGAGTTGTCGTTTTTTAGCTCAACTAAGAAACTAAAAGGAGTGGTCAATACAAGATCAAGTGTTGCTTGGGGCTGCATGAATTTGGTTGCTAATGGATGAGACAAAATGGCAAATAGTCACTATCTTTCTTTTTTTCTTATTTTTTTTTGCCCCTTACTTTATTTTGGTCCTTTTCTTGACCATTCTTATAAAGAAGTCCTCCAAATTTGTCCTCTTCTTCTAGAGGCTCTACAACAACCACTCATTTGATTTGATATTCCACACCATACAAACCCCCTAATGCCATTTGCCCTTGCTTGAAAAATATGTGATTACTTTTTTACCATCTTTACCTCAAATAGTTACCTTAATTTAAGATTTTAAGGAAAAAAAGAGAGGCATATATATGTAACGTGACAACAACTATACGATAACTCGGGTTACTCATGAATATTTTCATTGCAAATAAACAAGAGAAGATTTTGGTACTAGTTTTTGCTTCACTAAGGGTCTAAGCGAAACGTTATATTGTAAGGTTAGATACCATTTTCCCATACATGGAATTGAATGTGAAATACCTTAGAGATGAAAAGAAAGCTTCTTTAAACGTGGTAAACATTGAATTAACGAAACATGTTACATGTGAAAGTGGATTAATCTCAAAAACACATCCAACTATTTGATATAGTTATTACCCAATCAAACGCTTTCTAAATTAGCTAGTAAATTAGTTAAGTTATTTAAGTCTCGTTCATTTTACTCTACGTTTGTTTCTTATATTCGTTCATAATTCTGAATCATAATTCATAGTTCTCTACAGTGTTTTCTCCCACAAAAAATACACATAAAACAAAAATGGTTCTAAATCATAATTCTGAATACATAAACCAAACGTCCTCTTATTGATTCGAGTTTTATTACAGTAAAAAAACTCTAAAAAACAGTCACATCTAACTTTTTTACTACAATAAAAAGCTCACATAAAATCACATCTCAACTCAAATCAGTGAACTAAACAAACCCTTAGAAAATGTTTAGTTTATAAATTCAAAACTATAATTCAGAACCATTTTCAGTTTACGTGTGTTTTTTTGTGAGAGAAAATATTGTAATAAATCACGAACCATGATTCAAACCATAACACGCATCCTTACTTCAAACGCACCTTTAATAAACTTGATTAATACAGAACTAAACTAGATTAAACAGCGACACGTTTCATAATTAGAATTCCTTAAATTTGAATTAGAGCCGCAAAGATAACTTATAAGCAACAAAGCAATTTAAACCAAAAAAATGGCAAATTATTATTGGCTATATATTATTCGATAACCTCAAAGCACAAATTATTATACATATGGAACAAAATCAAACGAATTAATCAGTCTATATAACAAACCACTACAAAATTTTAAAACAAGTATATATCTATCACTAAAACCTTACCTAAAACATAAAATTCCAAAATAAAATTCACTTCAACTTAAAAGAAAAAAAAAAAAAGAGAGAGAGAGAGATAAGAAATGGCGGCAAAGCTAATAAGCTAAGATTAAGCACAGGCCTGGCGTCTAGAAGGCATCAGGAAGAGGGAATCAAGATCCGGCGGCTGAAAATATCCGTTCTTCGGCGGCGGCCTCTTCGCTCCGATAACCGATTTCTTCCTTGGCGGCGGCGGACACACGAACGCCTCCGGAATCCGGCACTCCCTCCGCTTTGGTGTCGTGCAATCCTCTGAATCCACCACCACCATCATCATCTGCTCAGATATTTCGCCGTAAGCCTCCATGATTCTCCACCTTCCGATCCAAACCACAAACTCACTC